TTTAAGCCCTGGGGTCACTGACCTCCACTAAAGGGTCACTCTCGCTATCAGGGGAGGTCCGTTCGCCTTAACACGACCTGCATTCTTCTTCTATCTCCATGTCCTCCTCAGTCTCTGTATCTCCTCAAGTCTTCGCTCCACCTTTCAGTCGTACTCAACAAATCGCTGGAGCTAACGATTGGCTGTCTTTCATGAGCCCATTGTTTTCTAAATATACACATTACATCAGTTCCTGTGTGTTACTGTATGTGCCCGGTGGTGAAGAGTGATTCTGAATCAAAGGGATCCTCCCCTCGCCTCCTAATGAGTGCGTTCACACACACACTACCTGGTTTTGTGCTCATCTTGCTGAATCATCTTCAGTGGAAAATTACATACAGTGACACATCAGAATCTTGGCAAGTTCATTTCTAGAAAATCTACCGACTCAGCGGAAGTTTATCTGAGTCTTTAGGGTTACTTGGTGTGTTGGAGTGGTTCATCAGGAGACTCAAGTGGGAGATTAGTCGATTCTCTGTCGATGTAATGACTCTGCAATGCCTTCATGTCTGCGCTGATAGCTGCGACACACATGTTGCTCTTCTCTGTGCCAGTAGAACGAGAAGGGGGGACGCCCCATCCTGAACTAGCTTAAATGAATTCAGTAAATTGGACATTGCTGGCCTTGCACAGTTTCAATGCTGTCCTTTTTATCTTTCATCCCAACTGAAAGTTGGCTTTTATTGCACATTAAACAAAAACATGTGTATTTCTAATTACTAAAGGAGACGTTTTAGTTGTTTAAAGGATTTCTTGTAATGGTTGGACGAGCAGCTTCAAAAGGCTTCTGTGTCTTATTGGTAGAAACTGGATTTTTTTTGTGCATCCCTCTCAAACAGTTTCTCAGCATTTCCTCCCTCATGATGCATTTTTACTCATTTGTCACTGCAGTATAAAGTCATGCATCTATTTGGAAACAGAGCAACAATGACTAGAAGGAGAGTAAACTCACAGATGTCGAAATGCCATAAATCACAAAAAAAGAGAAAAAAAACGAACGTTGAATTTCTTTGATTATTTATTTTACCAAAAAAAGCAAAAATCCTGAAAGCAACATGTACAACCTTTTTTTTTTTTCGGGTGTCTACAGGTGTAACCAATTGTAAAAATATATATATCTGTAGTATAGACATTTTACCCTTTTCATTTGTTTCCCTAATCGTCTCCTTTCTGCTCAGGGTAAACTTTGCTTGCAACTCGTTCCTGTTCACCTGCAGCTGAGGGGTGCAGAATCTTTTTTTTATATTTTAAAGAGTCCGGTTAGTTTGAACAGTTTATCTCTATCTAGCTAATGATAGCTTGGCTTGAAGAATGAAGTGGTTTTGATGAAATAATCATGACTTCAAGCTTATTTTTGGCTAATACTCCTGACGCAACCACATCTCACACAATATTCAGTTGTAAAGTTTCTGGCTCTAGTAATTTGGTGTCATTGTATGAAATCAAAAAGTGTAATTAAAAAAAAAAAAAAAGATACCAAGCCTTCCAAACCCAGCAGCAGTAGTGGTAGGTGGATCGATCCAAAGCATCGATACCACCTTGGTATCGGTGTTGCATCAATACTTGAGTGCTGGAATCGACGCTCAAGTTTCAGTTTCTCTTCTCTACGTTCAGCAACATGGTGGTTCTGCAAACGTCTCCTCTTGCTTACTTGCCCCTCCAACTATTCTGATTCTAGCACTTCCTGCTACACTGTTACCTGGCAAACTGCAGAGAAGTAGACAAAGGATAAAGGATAGATGAGCTGCTTTTAAGTGAACAGTATTGGTATCGGCAATACTGGCACGACTTGTTATCAGATCGATACCAAATGTTGCAGCATCACCCACCCAGCAGTGAGTTTAGCGATTCACAGGGTTGAACTGATATATAGGCAACATAAACTCCACACACACACACACACACGCCTCCATGCAGATATAGCTTCAGCATGTCTGATATAAATCCTTCCTATACCCGTTCAGCCCTGATGTTTTCCTTCTCTACCTCAAACCTGATGACAGTGTACATTTTCCCCGCCGTCCCGCAGGAATCCACAAGGATCAGCAAATAAGAAGAAGAAGAAGAAGAAGAATGTTTAATAAGACAGTGAAAAATATTAATATTAATTAGAATAATAGCAAGGAGAGGAGATGAAAGAAGACAGATAAAAGGAAGTGAACACGTCAAACTATCTCCAGCACTTGACATCAATCAGGATATGAAGTCCTGAGGCTTCCAAGACTTTGTTCAAAGTAACCTATATATGTGAGCAGTTTATATTCATGACATCACCCCTCTCGTGGAGGAACCTCCTATATGTCTGAGAACCATGAAATAAGTTCTCCCATTCCACTTTTACAACCAATTTATGGTCACGGTGAATCGGTTGCAGGCGTATCTTCTGCCTGTTGATGCGCTGCACATTCTGTCCTCGTTCCTGACCAGATGTTCACGTGGACTCGTATCCCCGGAGACACGACGTTAACATGCAATCAATGAGCAATTAGCATTTGGTGAAACAAGCAGAGAGTGACTTTTGTTTCCTCTCGTCTGGCAACGTGACACCTTGATCTGTGGCTAGTGTGAAAAGAGGGAAAGCTGGCAGCTACGTCCGCAGACTCGCACACCGGCGGTGTTAGATGAGTCAACAGGCTTCCTCCTCCGCTCATTAACAGCTTGACCCTTGTGTTTGAGCTGCTCCAGGTGGGGGTCACACCGCCTTGTATTTGGGCGTTTTGGCATGAAGAGTGTTTGTGTGCACAGGACAGCGTGTGTGACCTCCAACGGTTCCCCTCGACCTGGAAAGAAGATCAGGGCGGCGCCTTCGGATCGCGCCTGCGATTCACAACACGGTCACGGTTCCGCAGAAACGGAAGCAAACGACCAACGCACACAGACACTAGCAGGCACAAGGTCAGCAGTGCAGATCCCCACACTGTCGGCCCGACAAAGCTGCTCTTGTGCGGACGTGTGTTCTCTGTGTTTAGACTGTAAGCAGGAGAGTGTTGAGCAGCTGCCGCTCATCCGACGCCTGTAAAAGTCATTGTTCGCCCCCACAAACTTTGAACCGTGATATTGCGTAGAAAGGAGCGGTCAGTGCCAACAAAGGACTCCCCACTTGGATAACACAGCCAAAAACAGACAATTTTTAATATAGCGTTTAGCCGTCTGGAATGAAATATCCTCACGGATTACAGACTTTTAGAAAGAATCCGATGGATTTATGTCTCTGAATTTTCCTCATGATGTTTTTTTTATTGACGTATCTCAGCATGGATCGCTGTTTTGGTCGAAACATTCAAGATCCCCAGAGGTTCTTTATGAAAACCTTGATCACCTCGTATTTTATCTCCCGCTACAGTTAGTCCAAAACATGCAAAACTAATTTCCACTGTATTTTCTGCATTGTGCAGATTAGCAGCAATGTGCCAAGTGACGTTAACGCTGCAAAAGTTGAGATGTTGAACAGTTTTTACCAATAACGTCGTAGAATCATCTGTCACCAAAAGAGGAAACACAGCAGAGATTGACCCGCTGATGAAATCATATCAGAGGTCTGGCATCTACACAAGCATGAACTGGATAACTAGATAACACCACCATGACCCAGTCGGGGGAATCAAGTTCCAAACACACACCTGCAATTACCGCTTATCGCCACAGGTGTCGCCAAAGAGAGCAAAATGCAAACCTTTGACATTTCCACTTCACCTCCAGTTTCACTACGGCTCCTAAATCAGCATTATACGTCCCTGTTTTTATAACGAATATCTCTATAGCACAAATAAAATTGATTCTCTGTAGATATCGCTGCCAAAAATGCCATCGTGTCAAAATTTATGCGAGCCCTTTTGCACCATAAATAATCGACAGTAGGCCTCTGATCCCGCATTTTCTTGCTACAAGTGAAACTGTAGCTGTGTGGATTATTGTGTAACTGATCGCCTTTTACATGGTTACAGAAAGGAATGCGGGGTTAATAGTTTTCCTCGTCTGCTCCACTTTTGCATGTACATGTTCTGGCTGATCCGGTGAGCAGCAGGTAAAGTTTTTCAGACGGACTTGAATCCACAGGGAGGAGGAGCTGGACGGAGGGATGGTAAAAAGTTCAGGCTCTTTCCATCTCTGGTCCTTCTGGTTTCTGTCACGAGACACGGCAGCTGTATCTGCTCTGAGGGGGGAAAAAAAAAACTAGCTCTTGACAACAACAGGGACAGCATCAGGACTTCTTCATTACAATAGAGACAAGGCGCCGGTGGGGGCCTAACAAACGCAGAGCTGCTGTGATTTCATGCTTGTTCGTAAAGTGCTTCTCTTGATTCAGAGGACATCTGCCGCGCTGGAGGCCGACTGCTGTTTGCATTATGTGCGGCACAAAGACAAAACAATCCTCAACAACTCAAATTAAGTAATTAGAAAGTTAGAGATGAAGCTTTTGGGGCGGTTTGAGGCGGGCAGAGGGGAGCTATGAAAAACATTTTTCCCATGCGCCCTTTTTTGTTTTCCAGACAATCGTGTGGAGAATGTGCTTTGTTCCTGCTCCCCTATTCACCACTGGCTGGAGAAATGTATTGGTGGAAAGCATGTCAGCGTGAGATAAAAAAAAAGATTTCTGGGCTGTTAAAGATTCCTTAAATGAATGATTCAGAGGGGGTTATCATTTAAAGCATTCATGGACGGCAATGGGGGGCATTAAACCCTCTAAAAGTAGGATTTAGTCACCAGCAGGATTGAACTTGCCATGAGAATCATGTTTAAAGTTAAACAAAAGGGTCAAATTATTTAAGATTACTAAAAACAAAAACCTTGAACAGTGCGTAAATCTAAGAAAAAGCGAATATTAGTGGTGGGAGTTAATCCCTGCTTCTGATACAGGACAAGTGTTTTTCTTTTTTTGCTGCCATGATGTGTTGTTGGGAGGAGTGTGTGGGGGGAGAGAGAGAGAGAGAGAGAGGGAGGGAGAGACGGCGGGTGGAGAGAGGGGGAGGCGCAGTGTTTGGAGGATTTGCTCGGGCGTTCTCTCGCTCCAAAGTTTTCATGGAAACGTGCGCGCTCGCTGCACTACTTTAGACACTTTTTTTCTGTGAGTCATCGAGGGACTCCGACAAGTTTTCTAAAACTTTTTGGCCCGCTTCGACGACTTTCTCCCTTCTCCGCAACCCCCCCTCCCCCTCTCCCCGGTGTGAGGTTTGGTTTATGCCCGGCCGCGGATCCGTTGCGGTGGAGCAGCAAAGGGAGCACCCCCCGCTCTGGAGCGCTGAGACGGATTTGACCGGCGGAGGGTCTGACACAGGCCGCTTGTGTTGTTCTTACGGGGTTTCGAGGGGTTTAATTATCTGCATCCTACTTGTCCTGGGAGTTTCGCGAACATGTCAGGAAGCAATTTACGCACCAAACTTCGACTCGTGCCAAGCAACGCTGGAGCGTTTCACCGGTGCGTCAAGGGCGACTTTTTGTAGAGCAGCCTTTTGGCACCGACACCTCGCGTACTTGCTGGCGATCAGGTCCCTGGCCTGCGGGCTTGGATTCGAGCTTTTGCACCATATCGGTCTGACTGTAAACAAGTTTTTCCTCACGTTATGGAGGGTGAGCAGGGGACCGGTGCGCCCTCCGAGGAGCCCCAGGCGGACAGCGCCGCCGCGTCCGACAGTTTTTCCCAACTGTGGACGGACGTCATGGGGATGCTGGTGAGTTTGTTTTGGGGTGGGGGTGTTGGGGAGGGGTGCCATGATCATAGACTGACATCACAACTAACTGAGATTTTTAACCCTCATCCTCAAAGTTGACACTGATTTGCAGATTGAGTGGCGAACCAGTCGGTGCATGCAAATCATCATGCATCCAAACAAGACTGAAAAGGCCCAAGATTCACACCCACAGCACTCAGCTGCTTAGTGTTCAGGTGACTTGGGTGTAGGCTGCAGGTGATGAGTTCACACTGTTGAGTTGGTTGAACTGCAAACAGGAGTGGGATTAAAGAATGGTAGGTTTTGCACTGAGAAATGAACCGTTTGGAGATGGATTTTGTTTGCTGGCATGTCTGTCTGTGGCTGTGTTGTTTCCTGTGGAGGTCAGGTAAGCTTTACTGTAAGTCCAGAGGCTCTGAAGTGACATGATGATAGCAGAATTAAACATCAAACTATTATTAAAGATGCTTGTGTAGAGATATGTTCAGTTTTTTTTTTAGGGAGAAACTGACATTTTACCCATTTCCATACAGGCAGTATCATTTAGGAGTCACGCCTCATTGTGTTTGTGCTCATATCGATTATAAGTCAGATTTTGCGTCCTGTGTTCTTTGTAATCTGCTGTTATCTCCCTCCAGAGGCAGTCGGATACTTTAAATGTTTGTGCCTGTAAATGCTTGCGACTGTAGAGATGCTGTGTATTGTGAGTGATTGATCTGCTGACCAAATGCATGGCAGTCACTTCCAGTCGGTGTGAAGACAGAGGTGTTAATTTGGTTTAGTCTGGCGCTGAAGATGTGAATAGTGTGTATTCGTGTGTGTGTGTGTGTGTGTGTGTGTGTGTGTGCATGGGGGGGAGGTGGAGCTGTTGTCCTGCCCCTCTGACACTAGGTGGGAGATCTGGCTCTCGGCCAGGCAATTTATCCAGATTTATTGCTCTGGAGGCAAATGTCCGCAAGACTGTGCTCATCTCTGTTGTTCTTTTTCCCTCTTAAAGGGAAACTATCTCACACACACACATGAGCAACAGGTTTTCACACAGTTCTTTTGCTCTCAACAAACTCAACTCCAGTATTTTGCAAACATAATCATCTATTAAATGTAATCACAGGTTGATAATGTACAGAAAAGCAGGATATTTCAGTCTAAATGAATATGAATGTTTGTGGTTCATATCAACGTTCTCCAAGCTTTGACTAACTGCTACATTAATTTTAAGTAGCTAAACATCCTGCCAATAATCATTACGAAGCTCTCACTGAGTTTATTTCAAACCCATTACTCATCCTGCCAGCAGACATGGCACAGCCTCGCATTATTTCAAAATCCCGACTTCGGCTCTTGTTGGAATGCTGTCTCACGCACTGCGTCGCTTTACTGGTTTATGTCTTGAGTCTCGGGCCGGTTTGGATGAGCCGTCTTATTTTCCCTGCAACACTACACTAGAAATAGAAGCGCTAGAAGTGTGGAACGCGATCGGCCCGCGCGGCTGCTGAGCGTCTTTAGCAGGTTCAGCGGGTCAGTTTTTCACACCACAACTAACTGGTTTAACAAGCGTGATCGTGCACAACGCTCAACGAGCATGCGGTGATCGCACAGGCAGAAAATGTGAAACGTAATGGGTTTTGACAACTTGTCAAACGTGACTTCATTTCTGCAGAACATGTGATTGAGCTTCTTACAAAGACTTTGTTTAGAAATGGTGACCGAGCCGCCCTTTATGGTGAACTTTATCTGCTATCTTTAAGAACATTGTGAGAACCCGAGCACAATAACCACCATATCTCTGTCAGGACAGCATGGATCTACTAAATATAACCGCCGCGCTGTGACTTTCAATGGCTTTTGTTTTGCTTGGAGGCCTATAAAGGAATGCCCTTTACGTTTGGGTTTGCCCCGATCCTGTTGACCCAACTTAGACACAAATCGACTCCCCGCACGTGAGAACAGGCCCGCATGCTTCAACACACATCCTGATAAAGATCTGGTCGCTTCTGTCGTCTCCTGATGACTGTATGTTCCTGGAGAACGGCTTCCAGTGACGGCGCGGATTAGCGTCGAAACAGCCCCGCAGCAAAGAGTTTGTTCGCTCCTTTAAAGTGAAGTTTTCATCATGTTTTGACTGTACATACATCAAAGGCTGCTTCAGTGTTTCTCTGAGGGCCCCCGGTCCCTGAGGTTAACCATACACAGCAAACGTGTGGAGGAATGTGTTTAATAAGAATACCTAAGAAAGCCAGTCATTTACTTGTGGTCGAAGCCGAGTAACGAGCCCTTGAACTAATTAAGAGTCAAAGGCAGTTTAGGACAGCGTGGTGCAGGAGCTCTAAGTGGTTGGATTTACAGTCTGAATGGGATTTTGCTCCTAGTTTCAGCCCACTTAGGGAGATTTTTTTTTTCTTCCTCACATCAGAACTTTCTTTATTGAACGTTATTAAACTTTAAACGCTGGGTTCTGCTTCAGCGTCGTGTTTTTTTTTTTTGACGTCAAGATCTCTGAGATGATCTAGATTCCAGTTCCTCTCCGTTGCATCCCGTTTGGCCAATGTTCTTTTTGACTGTGTGGGATTCAGTTTTGTCTGGAATAACTTTCTCAATAAAGCGTAGAAGAGAGACCGAGCCGTGTGCCTTCTAGCGGTCTCCGGGACTAGATCGCCGACCCGGACAGCCGACAATCACTCACAACGACCTCTTCGCTCCTCTCGAGAAACTTTCCCTGCTTTTCGCTTGAAATGTCATCTTCAGCTTGTGGAAATATTTTACTTGCCTGCAGGGAGCCCTTCTCTTTTTTTTGAAGAGAGTTTTGTGGTGTTTTGCACAGCGTGGGTGGGAGTTTGTCCATTTGGAAAACACTGATTATGTAGGAGACGGCGCTTCATGTCTAAACCTAAGGATCCGGTGCTGCTCTCGAGACACGATTATTGATTGTGTCTGGGAAGCATATCGTTAGATGGTGTGGTCCCTACGTACATCCTCCCACGTAGCGCCTCATACATAGTGGCAGCATATGCTTCACTGTTTGGCTGCCAAACAATGGTGAGTTAGGCCACTTTGTGTTGTTGCCAGTAATGTTCCAACACAGTCTATAATGGCCTAATTTTTTTTTTTTTTTTTTTCTGTTGTTGCCCAGCCCAGTCTGCTCACTGCTCCTTTGCTCTCCCCCTCCCTGACCAGTCTCATTATTGAGGTCACCCAGAGATCTGGCAGGTTTCCTCTGCTGGGATGGCAAAGCACTGTTCTGCTCAAGCCACGGATATCCTGAGGAAGCTCCCTGAAAAGAGTGAGCTGTGGCCCTTGGCCTTACCCTCCTCAACAGCCTTCCACCGGTGGCTCCTAAAGCCAATACCACAGAGTTTAGTCAGACATCTGCTGGCTCTGTGTCTCCAGTGGAATTCTCCACTGCAGCAGCACCTTCAAGATCTGCTGTAGTCGGAGGATACAACATGGCACATGAGCAGCTTTTTAAAAAAAAATCTTTTCCAACATTTATTTTTTCCAGATATCTCCTCTGGCTCATTTTGTCTTTCTCTATCTGGTCTGCTTCCTCATTGTAGTCGGCAGTAGAGCGTTACCACTGCGCTAGTCCTGGAAAAACAATAAGTGGCACGGTTGATCTTTGTTCTTGCGTGAGCCTGAGGAACTGGATGGGGTAGAGTTGGAGGGTGGAGCGTTGGACTGATTACTAACTGGTGCTGCTATGATGTTCGTACTGTTTGGCAGGCGATCTCCTTTAATCTTGTTGGGTTTAAAGTGGTGCGTTCATGATTAATGCTCGTGGTTGACTTCTTAACAAAACATCAGCACAATGGAACACAGCATAAGCCCGTTGGTGGCAATTTCAACCTGCCACTCCTGTCCTGGGATTACGTAGCAAGCGAAAGCGATCACACTACTGACGTTCTAACATTACATCAGATGCATGGCTCCATTGTAAAGTGCTGTCATTGTTCTTTTCCCTGGAGAACGACCAGTCACAAGGCTATCCTTGTAACAATAGTTACTGCCATGTACACTACCATTCATGACCTGCACAACTGAGCCCCAGTATGATGCACGAAGGAATGTGAGCCCAAAGGATAGAAGAGAACGTACTGCGGCGTTCAGCCTTTTGTCATGTCTTTCTCTAACAAACGAGCGCTTTCTTTGAGACTCTTTGCAACACGATGTGGAAAACATGAATCGAGGGTAACTTGATTGAGAGATTAGCCTCTTGGCAGTGATTCCAAGCACGCGAGGAAACCCAAGTTATCGGTGTTTTGCATGCTGGCTGTGGAATTTTTAATAACTTTACAGGAGATAGCTTCGGTGGAGTGACTTAGGTTGTGAACAGGGACTTTATGAGTAAAACTGAGTAGAGAGTCTTGATGAAACTGTCACTTCAGCTGCACTTTTTAAACATGTAATTTTATAAAACAGCTCTGTTACCGTATGAACATCACAGTGGAAATGCCAAAACTAAATGCTTTACTCCCTAAAGAATTCAAAAGGTGGATAAAAATATCCTAACAATGCTTGTAATGTGAATAAAATGACTGTTCAGACTCACACGGTGCAACTTTTAGATCAATATAGCTGCCTGGGAGTTTTTTTAAAGTCTTCGTTTATCATAGTTACCTTGAATGAACCGATAAAGTCTACGACTCTGGGAAGAAAACAGATTTCCACAAGGTCTGCTGGAAGTCTGTGGCTTCTCGGTGGCGTGTATTTTACTGCAATAGCTGATTTGTGTATAATCGTGATAACCCACAGACCAGAACGTTTGTCAGTTATGAATGGGTCAAAACAAGTTGAACACATGGTGTTTATTTTGCCAGACGTGGAATGTTCATATGAAAGGGGCACAGATTTCATTCAGGCCAATCTTAGAGTAAAAAAACACAAATAACTGCAGAGATGCCTTCAATAGGGGCAACTAGTGGAGCCGGTGGTAGCTTTAACGTGATATGGGATGTGTGTGTGCCGATTTGCATCTGAAACTGATCAAGCTGATGTCTGTTTGTGTGGTTGTTACTGACAAATGATAAAATATACAACACAGGCTCTGTAAATAGCAGAATGGAAATAAAATACAGCCTCGCCTCTTGATTAAAGTGATGCTGCTTTGTATTAATTTACTGAACGTCAGTAGAGACGAATGTCTTTGTCAGGAAGAATGCGAGGAATGCCGCGGCCACAATTGACCAGAGGCTGCGTCCACGTTCACGTGTTCTGCGTCGTGTTAATGCACAGATCACATACGTTTGTATTCAAGCTGCTCGCACAGATGAAGAGATGATGAGAGCTTTACATTCATGTCTGGCTTGGATGTAAATCATTTCCACTTCTCTGAAATGAATATTGCGTAAATCACTTGGTAATGCTTCAGTAGCAGTCATGTGACACATTACTGACATAGTGATCTAATGTGGTGCAATGCCAGTAATTAGGGTTTGGATGCTGGAGCAACATGGTAACCGCTAACTCGCAGCGATAACTTTTACACACTTACTTCTGCAGCGGTGCACATTTTCTCCGAATGTTTTCTGTTTTGAGTCGCACAAGTCCTTGGAACAGAAGTTACATTACAGCAGTTTGGTTCAGTTTGGGTTTGACATATTTCAGCCGCTTCCATGGAACTGAACAGCGTCTTGGCCTCGGACAGCAAATGACACACGCACGCTCTTTGCTGCAAGTCAAATCAATCGCACGTACTCATATGGGTGTTGCTTTTTGTCGAGCTATTGTCGCTATTGTTCGAGTCAAAATGGGGAGTTGGCCTCCCTCGCATACAGGGCGGAGGAGCTGTTACATCACCTCCACCAGCATTAGTTTCTATTTCAAACATGAGTTGTTGTTTGACTTCAGTACAAATGATTTGTAAAGTATTTGTTTGGAGGGTTTAGTCTGATGTGCTCACCCAGACCAGTGTCTTTTTCTAGGTCAGATAAGTCACGGGGAATCCGACACTCATCCATAGAATCTCTTGTAGATGCAGCGTTTCTGTTCCCACACTCCAGATGTTTTATTCCTCTCTCACCCCACAGCTGTTCTCGTCCATAACCCGCAAACCCTGCCCAGTTTCTGAGCTGGATTCTAGTGTTACTGTCAGCTCCTCCACCTTTCACTCCCATGCTGACAGAATCTCTCCAGAACACTTGTTCATGCGCTGACACACAAGCACTCCATCTTGAGAGAACACTGGGTTTTACCTTCCTCGCCGCCCGCTCCCTTTCACCTGAAGGCATTTTTCTTTTCACGTGCCGTCTCGCAGCGGACACGGATATAACAGAGCGTGTGAAGTGTCACTTTACAAGGTGCTGGTGGAGGTGGGGCGAGGAGGGCGAGGAGGGGGTCAGCTGTGCCGAAGGCCCGTGAGCTAATCCCGCTGGAGAATTGGAGGAATCCCAGTTATCCACGCACACACATGAATGTTTGCACACACGTGGACTCGTGCTGTCACAGTCTGTTTGAGAACCACGGAACACATGCGGGGCTACCTGAGGTTCCTGCTGGGCGGCGAGGCGGGGGGAGGGGCAGGAAAATGGCAAAACTCAATTAACCGTCTCTTCTGCTGGGCCCCGAAATTAGCACTTGTTGTCGGCTTCTGTCAATCAGGAGCTTGTATAATCTGACAACGGGTTTCAGATGCAGCAAATAGATTTACACAGTCATGGTATGTGGCTTGTGATTAAAACATTTCTGTAATGAGAGCGCGCTTTGAGTCGGCGCGAGGAATGAAGGGGAGAGCATGCGCCTGCTCAGGGAGTGTTCCACTGGGATTCTCAGTCATCTCAAACCATATGTCTGGCCAGAACAGGATTTCTCAAGCAAAGAGAAGGGTGGGAGGACAGATAACAGGCAGCCAAGCTCGGCTTTTGAGACAAAACACGTGTGTTTGTCAGTCACGTCGTGCTCGTCGCCTAATTAATAACCACCGTTGCGTAACTCCGTCCGGCGAGCTGCGGTGTTTATGATTGGCTCGCCTCAGTTTGTTTTGGTCCGATGTTTTTGAAATCCCCCCGCGTGCATGTGTGCGCATGCTAATGTGTGTCCTCCCCCGACTAGACACCCATCTCTGAAGAAGGCCCTATGCCCCCCGAGTGTGTGTGTGTGTGTGTGTGTGTGTGTGTGTGGCGCTCTTACTCGCACTCACAGTGATCCATTCATTTGTGGCCTGGCACCCAGATAGGGAGTCCGGTTGAGAAAGACAGAGACTGAGAGAGAGACTGTTCGGACCCTGCACAGTGACTCAATGCTAGCTGTCTGCCTGGCACAGATTAGATCAACACTGATGAATATTCAGCAGTTGGCCATCACCGGCAGAATGGCCTACATTTTCACCCAGACCAGAGATGGTAGTTGGTCTTCTCTCCCACATTGTAACAATAAAGATCGCTTTATGTCCTGCAAACATCTTAAGGGATTAATTCGAGGAGCAAATGATGTGTTTAGTGTTTCTAGTTAGCTGGAAATGAAAGCAACCGATTCCCGTGAATTTCGTCGTCTTGATTCATGATGCGGGCTACTTATGTCGACAGTTGGCGTTCGGTCACTTGTTTTTATAAATTCCAGGCTATTCCAAGATGCTGTTTTCTGTTAGGTAAGATCTTCAGTGTTTGGAGCACAGCTTCCTCTCCTCCGTCCCAAACACGTCTTCCGCACAAAGGCAGGAACTGCGCTGATCTAAACTACGGCCAGCCGGAAAAGCGTGTTTGGTTTGGAGTTTGGTGAATGTCTGAGGAGGTAAAGGGCATCCTTGATATGAGCCGCGATGAAGACAAAACCCAGGAACAAACCGTGGGCTTGCCAGAGACACTGAATGGGAACTGATAAGAGCGAATAAATGGCCCTAATATACAACCGCTTTAACTGCGGAGGGGTATTTATAGGTTGTTTGTATGGACTACGTCAGCAGATTGGTGAATGGAGACGGCATATTTGTCCCAACATGTGTGCTCTCAGTTTGCACCAGATGATGCTTTGAAAGTTGTGGTGCTACAGAGAGGAACAGTGGACACATAATGAAAGTAGCGCACAAATTCACAAAGTTCCTGCCTACTGCTAAGCCAACAGAATCGTATCTGTGTAGGAAAAGTGTCAGTGGTGATGTTTGTATCCCTGTTGTTTCACAAATCTCTGCACGGAGGAAATGGTGAAGATGGAAGCAGATGTCTTACAGTCTGCTCACTCGAGTAGACTTTCTCTCCAACATCGCACTGGTGGAACTCTGTAATGTAAGAGTAAATGATTGCATGTATGTGCAAATGTAGGAACGATTGACTCAGAAAGGGAATTTTTAGCTTTTTGTTGGACGGCCTAAACGAGCGTTGGAGTTTCTTCTTTCCATTGAATCATAAATTGAGTTTTCTTTTGTGCATCTGTCAGCTTTCCTTTCCCCAGTTTGCTATCATTCCCTTGCTAAACTGCCCTCTCTTCTCCGTTTCAGGATGGTTCTCTGGGCAACATAGATGACCTTGCCCAGGAGTACTCTGAGTACTACAACACCTGCTTCAGTGACGTCAGTGACCGCATGGAGGAGCTCCGCAAACGGCGAGTCTCCCAGGAACTGGACATGGTAAATAACTGCTCGTACACTCACAGAAACATCGCATGGGAATATTATTTCAACAAAAACATCTCTGACTCTTCTTAGCTTGCATGCCTTCAGTGTCTTTTGGGATACATTTTTGTCCGTTTTTCAAAAAATGACTGTATAGAAAAAGTCTCCTAGCTTTAATGGGTTAATTTTCTCAACTTTAGCCGACAAGGAACAACAGTGACAGAAAGAACCCGAATGTGTACCGATGTGTAAGACTTTCCGCTCTAAGGCAGTGTGTCTTTTCTGGATGTGAATGCGGTGGTGTTCTGGACGTCTATGGGGGGAGTTTGGGGGTCCTTTTTCACAAGGATGTAGGGTAGTGGGGAACCCCCTTTTGGTTGCCAAGCTGCAGGCGAACGTATGATGGAATGCTGCTGGTGTTGCTACAGAGGGCTTAGCTTTGTGCAACACACAACCCAGTAGGTCCACACACTTGCAAGAGCAACTCCAGAGTCTTATGCTAACTTTCTAATTCACCGTGACTTGATTGATTTGAACCCTTAGAAAATGACATTTGGCCAAATGAAAAAAATGCACCAAAATGCACTTTTCCATCCTCCTAGATCTGCTGGAAAGTAGATGATCCAACGTAAATACAATAAGGCAGTTGGATGTCACATGTCTAAGAGTGTTGCCTGGCAAAGTCATAATTCAATTCTACATATTTTTGCTACCTTGGCGTTTCTTATTTTAGCCCTCGTCCAGCTTTACTCTCTTCATAGATTTTCTCTCTGTTATTACATGTTTCCAGTTTATTAGGAGGCCTCTTCTGCTTGAAGGCAGCCATGTGGTTTTGGTTGGGTTGACAGGTGTGGCTTGGATGAATGGCTGATTTATTGTGCTCTTCCTTTTAATGACTTCAGACATCCTGTTCTCACAGCTTTTAGTAAAGGGACTGGAAAGCATAGAAAGATCATAGCTTTGGATATGCAGACACACATTGCATGTGATCACAGGTTAAGTGCTCTCTCTGTGTGGCTGCACACTTTGATCCGTCTTTTTCCCATCACGTGAGTTTCACTGTACCTTTTGGGAAGGTCTCATCCTGAGGACATAAAAGAGGGGAAAAGGGAAGCAATCGGGGCAGATTTTTTGTAGGAGAAGAGAGAAAAAGAGCTGACTGGGAGCTGAGCCTGAAGCCCAGGACAAGGATGTGAATAGAGGAAGAAGAAGAAGGGAGGAGGAGTGCAGAATGTGAGAGCCTGCAGCTGTCCTGCCACACAGCAAAGTTTGGCAGCGAAATATAGGAGAAGAGAAGAAAAATACTTGAAGGAAGGAATATAGGTCAGACAACACCTTATTGAGAGCTCTCAAAAGTGCATTATCAACCCACACAGTATGGATTGAACTCTACCTTGCATTTCGGTACAGTCACTTTCTAAAATTAGTTTTGGGCAACGTTCAACTCCAGAGCAGGCTTTTCTCTACTCGTCTTCCGAGGATACAGTGGATCGAGAGGAAAAGCTGTCCTCCTAGACAATATTGTTAAGAGGCATTGTGAAGGTAATGCACAAAACATGAAGAGAGACAGAACACAAGAGACAAGTGAAATGGACACCCAGTTAGAAAGAGCCATGAATGACGGTTCTATATCTTGTGAAGTGTGTCCAGAAAGCCGTGGCTGCCAGCCAGCTTCATGCAGCCGACTCCCTCAGGACCAATAGCAGATGGTTGGAGAAGGTCACGATGTTCTAGAGTCATGTTAATGGAGAGGCATTTATTAAATGGCACTCTTATGGGACATGGCATTTAGGGAGAGACCTGCAGGAGGGAGGTAAAGCAATCAGGTGCTCCTCTTCAATGATTGTCTTTCTTTTTGTCCAGATTTACAGGTCAGTTCTTTTTTGTTTTTTGACTGGTAGCTTTCGTTTCACATCTCTGATACCTTTGGGTACAAAAACTCTGATCATTAGATCAGCAGCTTTAGGGGAAAAGGTCACGTGAGCATTGAACCTTCTTCGTCTTTATACTCAAAACTGCAGAAGTCAAGATAGAGGCCCAGAGGTCACGTTACTATGACTGTCTGACTTAACGGCATCATATTTTCCGCTAAACATATCTGCTGACCTAATTTCTATCGATTTGCTTTTGGAAAATTCCCACAAGAAAGCCCCAGACTCTGTAGTCCCGTTATAGTCACCACCAAAAAGAAGAAGCTCTCTGATTTAAGTTTCTCTTCTCCAAAATGTTGTCAAGTTGACTCTCAGGCTGGCAAGTATACGAATCTGTCTTCATGATGGGAACTCTTTCAGTTTCCTTTTTGGGTTTTCTTCTACTTTTTCTTGAGTAATGTAGAATTTCTGTTCAGTGGCGTGATGCGTCTGCCAGTTTGTGGTTCCAGTGAATGCAGTGATGGCTGTCTCTGTTGTAGTGAAGCACCGGGGCTCCCTCCATTAGGAGTTGATGATGGAGGCTTTCTCTGAGATGACTATCGATGCACCTACTTCCTGCGCGGTCGCCGCTCAGTTGTTTCTATACATCTCCGTGTTAGTTTTATGAGTTGCCAGGACACAAAGGGTTAAATAAACATCCCCTCTGGGAATGGGAATATGGATTAGAGGTGATGCACAGCTTCCCAGGGCTCTTATAGACGACAGTATGGATGGCTGTGGTCGGCATGCATGAGGATTACTGCTGGAAGGGACAGGAAGTAGTGAAACAGAGCCCTGTGTTCGGCAGCTTACATAAAAAGGGTTGTTTTAAATGACAGGTCAGTGAAAGGTCAGGTCAGATGGTAAAGGTTAATTGAAAAGCAAGTGACATTTAGAGTGTGTACCACTGATTTTATGCATTGTCTGCAATACTTAACCAAAAGCACAGATTGTAGATAGTTTGCATAAAGCTGATCCGTATAAGCGTAGAGCTGTCAGATCTGGTCTTTAAGCTGTTTTATATGATTGCCATCCATATGTTTAATCATTTTTTTGTTCAATTCGCCTGTTTAACAAACTTATAAAATGTCCAGCATGACTTACGCCAGTTAATATAAAATTGTGTCGTCACTTATGAGTCTGTGTTTACTTACATACAATTAGATTTTCATACTTTAATAACAGATATGATTGTGCCGATTATGTTTCATTGGCCTTTTTAGCTTTTATCTTATCCAAGAGTTTCGTAGGAAATGTCTCATTTGAAGTGAAGCCATTTGTTTTGTTATTACCCCTAGGTAATAAGGTGTCCGACCTGCCTCATGCTCTTGTGTTGATCTCTTTAAAAAATCATGTCCTGTAATTCAGAGTAGATGCGACTTCAAAGTGCTTGACTTTTACCAAGTTCAGAAAGCAAATTAAAATGTTTTCAAATCTGATCAACAGAGAATTTTATTAAAATAAAGACTATAATGTTCATTCCAACACAAGGTTATATTGCACCGAATTGGAAGGAAGGTGGCACCCTTCATTAAATCTGCATTTACTTTCGTCTGTTGCTTTCTGTTGCCGTCGTTTCTCCGACACTAAGAAAATTGGAGCGTTTCTTTTATTATGTTTTATGCCTGTAAGCATCAACAAAGTTGCTCTGCTCAGTGTCAGCGAGACCCACCGGAGGGGAAAACATGCCAAAGCGTGGACGTATCAGCTGGAGGAGGGATCCGTCAGACATGCAGTGACTGGTTGTGGAGGGAATAATCACGTACAGGCAGGGCGACAAGCATCAAACAAGATGTTGGTGTCTTTTGCTAACCACGGTGATATAAATCTGGATTATGGAATGTGTGGTTGTGGGGCAAACCTTTTCGTACATGCTGTTAACCATAATGAGACATTGCAGCCGCATCTGTGGTAACATCTTTGAGGGTAATTTAAAGTTGTGAACAAACAAAGACGGATGAAACCCTTTGATGCTTGAGCAGAAATCCTCCAGTTGTTGGTCTAATTGAGACACTTTTAAGACAAAAAAAAAAAAAAAAAAACGCCTCCGCTGGTGTCACATTGATGTGTTAGCCTCGGGAACGTTCTGTAATTGTTTTCTAGCTGAGTAACTTGACAGTTGGAGGTCAAGACTCAAGCAAAGACTTGTGTTTGGTTTTCGCCATGAGGTGAGGAACAGTGCGGTTAATGCGATAATGGCTGCATGAAGTTCATTTGTCTAAGTGGGTCAGTTCAGCTGGGTTACAACTACAGCGCGGAAGAAAGACAAACTCTGTTTGAATTCGGCTGCTTATTTGTCCTCTCTGCCTCCAGCTTTTTCGCCTGGAAACGTAGAAAGTCAACATGCTCCAACAGCAGCTGATGTTGCTGTAAGATTACTTTCAAAAGATCCTGGCGTAGCTCCCTTATTGGCATAACCCCCGTGGAAAGCAAGCCGTATATTTATGATTTTCCTTTATGATTTATTTGTCAGTATTGCGATCGCGTCTCTGTCATTGGAATTTGTAATAACTCTGGTATTTATCTTGAAATACCAAAACAATGATGATCCTCAAGGCTTAGGAATGCTCCACAGTGGAAAAGTATGCAGGCCTGTGCTGGAAGTACGCGTGCACACACACACACATGCACACACACATGCACACACTCTCTTAAGGATCCTTGAAAGGAAGAGGATGGAGGAGTGTGTTGATGGTTTTCTGTTTTGAAATGCATGTAGGCACGCAGCAGCTCAGAGGTAGCACGGCAGGCTTGGCTTTATAGTGCCCAGTATGAACATGAATTTCCTGCTTTTGTGTCTGAGACTTAAATAGCATACTTGTGTGGGTCTTCCAAATGAGCCGGTTCTGCAGGCCTGCACCGTGCCGTTCTGGTCCCACCGCTAATGTCCTTCTTTAGGCTCGCACCCGGCCTCCCAGTCAGGTGCCTGCTCCCTCCACATGCCTCCGACTCGCCCACCCAGATTCACCCAGCGGTGCCAGTTGGCGTACCTCCACTGAGCCACCTGGTGCCTCTGCTTTCTGCTGCGTGTCCACCTACTGAGGTTGGCAGAGGCTCCACTGTGGTGGGACTGACTTCGGTGGGCTTCGTAGTCATGTTTGGAATAAACGGCGGCTGTTGAACGCTCATCTGTATGTCTGTGCTTTTCCCTTTCATTAACAGAATCTGGTGCTGCTGCAGCAAAACGTAGCCCAGCTGTAGGCTCCGGGTTAATGATGGAATGTGTTGTGTGGAATTACAGAGTTCCAGTTTAGCCAATTCAGAGGCTAGTTTCCCTCGCGGCCCTGCAGACATCGTGATCCTCATTAGTGGGAGTTCTTCTCCTCTCGCTCTCTCTCTTTTTTTTTTTTTTAAATAATTTTAACTCAATTCAGTCACGCTTAAGCAATCAAGAGTCTTGCATTTGCATCACACTTGCATGCACAGAGTGAACTGTGCACAAACAACCCCTGTGGACATCTGGAAGGGAAATCACAAGCACATTCGCACGCATACATGCCAGGTTTCGGGTAAGTAGGGCAGTATCTCGAGATGATGCTGCTAAGTTCATGTAAAGGATAGCGCGGCCCCTCTGGGAGGAGGCTGTGAGATCTAAGCTTCACACAGACACCCCGCTCAAAAACGTATTGATTTGGTATTCTCTTTCAAAAACTGTGTCAGTCGAGCCGGCGACTTCTTCTTTCTATGCTTCTCTACCAGCAGAGCTCGTGCACCATCGGAAGCTTTCACATAAATTTTCTTTTTTGAGTCATCCGCTGTGACAAATTAATCTCTCAGATCTGCATTAATAAGTAGAAAACGGTTGCAGGTTTTCTTTGTTTTTCCACTGATCTCCTCCTCGTCTCACTCGCTCTTTCCCTGTCAGAGACGGCACACACGGTTTAAAGGGAAGCTGAAGATGAGTAGGAGGAACAGAGAGCTCCTTTGTGTCTTTCAGGAGCTCCGTCGGTGGAAGTGGAGGCGAGATGTGTGTAGGTGCTCCTCGGTCTGGGTTTACGCCTGTGGTCGCACGTACAGTACGCGGCCGTGCCGGGGTCTGCATCTGGCTGTGTGTTTTGGCGTGTGTCGATGCCTGGTGTGTTTGTTGGGCAGTAATGTGTTTTAAAATAGTTTCTACAGCTACTTGGCAGAGTGCCTGTGCCACCGGTGAGCCTGGCATATCTCCTCTTATGCTGCAACCCGGGAAGCCATCAAAGAGGATCTGATAGCAAAACCAGTCTGCCGCTACCTTTGTGAAAGTATTTGTGACTGCATAGCACATTGTGAGTACACGATATTCTGCACAATGCGGTTGTGTAAACAGAGCTGCCAAAGCTGTGCTTGTTCAAGGGATGGATGTGTTGTTTCTTTGCCTCACGCCAGCTTTACCTTTTGTAAGGAAAAAGCAAACAGTCCTTTTTTCCAGATTTCCTCCTATAGCCTGGCAAGCTAATGAAGAAGTTTTTATGACCGTAGACAAGTGCCTGCTCTCTAACTTATGGGAATCACCATAGTCCCTGGGATGGACACATTTTTTAAAAGACTCTTCCGACGTCGCTTGATTTACTTGACGGAGAAACTTCCGAAAACATGCCTCTGTCTGCCTGATCACAGTAACAGACCAACGGCCAGTGGGACTCGCTGTTCTAAAGTCAGTGCTGAGGACAAACCCAGCCAGACTGTCTGGCGAACATCTTTACAGTCTACACTCAGCTGATTACTGCTGTGATAAGTGTAGGCTTCAGGCTAATTTGGAGGCTTTCAGCCACCTCAGCAGTTCAGGTCCTCCACTCATTTGACTCACCGGCAACAGGCTCTTAAAGCTGGTTATGTCACTTCTGACTAAATCACTTAGTCATGCTCCAAGGTGACAGCTCAGAACCATTGTACTCCCTTTGCTCCGAAGCCCATTTAAAGAAGAAAAGAAAGGTTAAACTAAAGGTCACCCTGATTTGGCAGCATGACACAGTGACTGTAGGAAGCCCTCCTCACTGGGCTTCCTGTCACTCTTATCCTACCATCTAATATCTGGGTGTGGAGATACGGGATGATGCACATTTCTCAAAAGCAACTCACTTCCTATTCCTGCTCTCCATTTATTCGGGGAAACCCTGGATTCCATTTGTCATTTCTTAGTGGCAGCAGCACAAAGAGCCGTAAAATGTTTTTAAAAAGCCGCTCACCTAGAGGCCCTCCACCTACTTCTACTGAACTGACCTACTTTACTGATAACAAGTCGAGCGTATCGATCGTGCAGTGAGATAACCGGTTGAAATGCCACCTGAACTGCCAGCCGGATAGACTAGAACTGAAACTTCCGCTTTGACCTGAAGCTCAAGACCTTTTGGGAAACTCACACGAGAGTCACACCCTCCATATATCTATATCAGGGAAGGTTTTGTGTAAAATTTCTAACAGCCATAGTGAGAAACAGGATTAACTGGAGTTTATATTATTGACAGGATTTTTGCATGTGTACATAAATAGACAGGAAATATTCACATCTGAATCATGACGCATTTACTGTAATTCAGCACAAGCTGGTAAAATATTAAAAGTCAGACAGAAAGTAGAAGCAGGAAGTTGTCTTTGGTTATGTGTCTGACTGGGACCAGATGAATCACAGCAGCACAAAATATAGGAAACCAAAGACGTCACTGCACTTGATCTAAGTGTGCCCAAACCATCTGTCTGATAAATCATTTCTGCAGCTTTTTGACATCCCGTGTATCATTTGCATACTCCAAGTCTGTCATTTCATTTTATTTTTACTTTAATGTCCCCCTCTACGTGGTGTAATTTCTCTGCTTATCATTTCTTTTTATTTTTTATATTGTCTGTTTCTTGGCTGGGATAAACACTCGATACATAAACTTTATTAGTATTTTCTACAAATACTTTTAAAGTCACACTTTACATGTTCTTCTTTTGCCTCCTCATGGTAGCTAAGGATAACTGAGGCAAAACAAACGTGTGATTTGGGTTATCCTTGGTCACCCTCTGGTTCATATCAGATGGAGTGATCGGACACGGAGAGAAAAGTCGCATATTCCTCATTGTGCACTGAGCATGGACATGACCAAGATGTTAACCTCAGATGTCTGGCCTGAAGTCTTGTCACTTCCCCGAAGCAAGTTGCCGATCCCGTCTGTGACTGCGCTCCCTAGAAGTGGTAAAACTATGCGAGTGTGAGTTCAGGGAGTTTCAGGTTCTCTCGTCCTTGACGGTTCAAAAACAACGCAAGAACACACCGCCACGAAACTGCGCAGTCAGCCAACCCCTCAAGGCTGTTTGTTGGCGTTAAACATGCCGCAAGTTAAAATCGAAGCTGCAGACTTGTTGTGATTGTCTGCAGAAGCATTTGATTGGAGGTACATCTGTATTTGTATATGCACGCCTGCTTCAGACATTTGTACAAGCACCAGCCCTGTAGTGAAAACAGCAGACATCGTGGGCTACAGGAGCTCAGCTGCATTTGTGCAGAGAGGCTAAAAATTGTGCTGCTTTGTACTGTTTTTGTGCGGCTTCTTTGTGGCGTTTCGCGGCCAAAGCTGAGCCAAGTCTGGGTATCAGGTTTTCATATATGGCTTTTTTTCCCCCACTCATATGTGCTGCCAGTGCAAATCCAGGACGGTATGTTGTCTTCTAAAGCTGTGAGGCAAACCGGCAGGTGTTTGCCTCGAGTAGAGGGAGGCGCACGCTCACGTCACTGTAATCACGCTGCGGTATTTCATGGAGCCGGTTACGTATGTGCCTTTATCATGCCTTGTTATGTTGGAGAAGCCAAGACATCACCAGGGGTGTTCAGTAGGGTTGTTTTTACAGGTATAGGAAGTGTTTGGGTGCTTCTATGTGACACAAAGAATGACGAGCAACAAATGGTCCCTGGCTGGAAATCGAACCAGGACTCACCTTGTAGTATGCAGCCAAACCACTATCCGGAAACAAGTACATTGGAAACAAGTATTGCAGGTTTGGGTGCCCAAAGCAAGTCTTGACTCGTTACTGGGCGGGTTGTCGGTGTGCACACACGTGCTTGTGTTTGTTTTCACTGATTCGAAGGTGTGACTGAACATGACTAAAGAACGTCTTTCCCTCATGAGGAGAGTTGTGGAAAAGTCCTTGCACTGTTTCTGTAGTCAACTCTCCTTATTTTGCCCTCTCTAGTCAGGTCGTGTTTTGTTCTCAGAGTTCAAAATGCCTGGTAGCTGATTGATCTTTGATGCTGACACTTGACCCTCTCACTTTTCTCTCTCTCGCCGTTTTTCAGGAGAAACAGGATCCAAGCAGCACCTCTCTGCAGCTCCGTAATGAGATCCAGGTAGGCAGAGACAGCACCTGCACCAAACAATCGAAGCAACACTTGTATCTTCACCATGTCAGCTTTGCACAAGCTTCGGATATCTGACACCTGTCTCCTTTTTTTTTCTCTCCTCAGGAATCTTTAGGATTCAGCAGTGAGGTGTCCACTCCTGAAACAGACAGAAAGTACGTTTTTTTTCTCCACTACTTGGTTTTCAACATGTGTGTCTGTTGCATGTCCAAACAATGTGCAGTGTAGCGTGTGTCTGGATCGCATCAACCCGTGCATGCCTGCAGACAAAAATCATGCATCACACTTAGCCTTTCTTCACGTCCACAGCTGAAGACGGAGAGAAGCAATTAGACATACACAAACCTCCGCACGCAGCTCGTGTGAATGATAGATGTCTTGTGCGAGAGCTTGTACAAAAGGTGACTGACCCTTAGAGAGCAAAGGCCGTCTCCTCAGGTGGGAAACCCTCGTTGCGCTCGTGAGGCATGAAAACACTGATTCGCTCAGACAGGCAGACTTGTACAGTTCAGTTTCAGCGTATTGTTAACAGTAAATGAAGAGGCGCAGCGTTTCGTCGGCACGGATCATCATCAAAAATATCAAATACGCTCGCGATTCAAAGCTTCAATAGCGATAATAATTGCATTTCATTAGGAATCATACAGCCGTGTGTCAGATTACCATGTAATTTGTGGTTGCACTGTAATCAACTTCGGTCTCGCTATGCAAAGAGCAAACAAGCTTCTTTCCCTTTCGAGAGACAGATGAGATGCCACTTGCATGTCTGTATTTTTGGCATAAAGCTTCCACTTACATCATCCCAAAGCAGCCATCCAACACATGCATGCCTTGTTTTCTAGTCAGTTATGCATCCATTGTGTACACTTGAAAAGAAAGGACTGATTAGGTTGATAAAACATTACCTAATGAACACCAAGATGGTAATCTTTAAGAGTTAGTCAGCCCCTCTACATTCACTACATTACCAGAATGACGTCGTCGGTCCGCTAAGCTCCGCCGCTCACATCCCCGCCGCGGCTAAAGGAAACCCAGTGACGGCTTCCTTTCGGCTGACCTGCTCGGCTCAGCAGCCCTTCTCTGTTCTCGGGCCCGTCTGTGCTTCCTTCCTGCCTTTGTGTCCTGCAGGGGCAGAGGGGGGACGACCGAGAGGGCGATGGCCAAAAGATTACAGCGAAAGAGCATGAACGAAAGAGCAGGATGGAACCCGGCGTGGGTGGGGTTCCTTTTCACTGGTTCCTGTAACACAAACGCATTTGTGTTCTTTTTTTTTTTTTGTGTGTGTTTTCTGAATTTTCTCCACCGTAGCCCCGATATGAGATCACTGTTATACAATGCTACGCTAAGCTATCCAAGTTGGTCGGCTAAACAGCTCTCTAAACGCCCGACTGTCAAACAGAATTAAATTCAGGGCAGCTGCACACGTTTGGCCTCTTTACAGGCACGTTTGTTTGCTCTCTGCTAAGCGAGACCAAAGTTCAAGAATATATTCGAATGTTTCCGCATGACCAGATGACTAATGAAGGTCTGGATGCAGAACCACCTTCTTGGGCAGTGGTGGCCTTGGTAACAATTTAAATAAGATCTAAAGAAGAGATTAAGAAGAAAAATGAAAAGTTCTAGTCCAATACTTTCTCCAGTGCCAAGGTAGAAGATCACTTTTATTGTTATTCCTGTTTATTTCTGATTGTCACCCCTGTGTGACCCCCTCTTGGATTGTCATGTTCACGTGACGACCACGTGCGACAGAGGAAGTGCATACCACAGACATGATCTCTTTTCCCATGGCTGTATATGTTGCACAGACAAATGCTGAGGATGATGGGAACCAGATGCCAAATTTCGAATGACGTCTCTCTGCTGTTCGAGGGCGAGAGAGGCCCCCGACTGGACCATACGCTTCTTCTGTCAGTCTGCTTTCTTTCTGTCTTGTGTGCCTCGTATGTTTTCTCGCAGATCCCCCTCTCCCTTAAACATTCGGACTTTGTCTCACCTTGAGCCTTCGGGTGATCTCAAAGGACAGAGCTTTGTGTTCCCCCTCATTTTCTTTATTCCTACAAAATCCCAAGCTGTGTTTCTGGTGTGGAAGTCAGACATGAAGAACTTGATTTCCCACATCCGACCCCTTAGAAACCTCTTGTTTTGTAATCCATCCTTTTCAATCCATCCTGCTCAATTGTTTGGCCTATTGTCCACTTTGCACGGCGCTGAATGGGTTTCAGGTGAAGTGATTTATCATGTCCCGTCACATTCCTCACACCACCCACAGAGGCCACATTTGCACATTCGGACACGGATACCCCATCATCACCTCTCTGCAGGACAATAGCAGCCAGCGGAGATTACCCAGACGTCATGCAGGGGCCTTGCCCAGCCCTCCGTCTCCTCCGTGTCCCTGTCGCATTATTGGCAAGACCTGGGCACAGCTCCCATAACGCCTGGTAGGCGAGTGGTGATGACAGAACCCTCTCAGAAGGCCGAAGGGTTCGAGCCGGGGTCTTCCTGTTTTGGCATGTGATTGATTAGTGGGCATTGTTGCAGAGAGGAGGCAGCTAGCTTATCAGCGAGGTTAACAGCAGAGGTAAATGGATCTTGATGAAAGCGTACATGTGCACAGACATGAGATGCAAACTGTTGATTATTGGCTCCAGCAGGAGCTCGTACGGGAGTCGTCGTTTAGAGGCAGCTGTGCTACTGCAAAACCCAGCTTATGCAATAATCAGATGGATTTGTAAGCTGTGCCATGTGAAGACTCTGTTCAGAACAACAGCACCATGCTGGAGAGCTAAAGCACCTCGCCAGCGTATTCCCCATTTATGGCTGCAGCCCTTCACAGAGCTGTCGGACAAAGTAGACCGTGGGCGGAAAATGCACTCACAGTTAAAATGCCTTCAGAAATGTGTCGTTTTTTTTGAATCGTCTGTGTTTTATGTGCACGGCTTTCTGCCTTTCTGCCATGTAAGCTTCTGCCTTCTGTGTGACCCCTGTGACCAGTGACCCCGAAGAGGTCGCCCCTCTGTGCTTCCTGCCACCGTCACATTGTCACCTTTCATTGTTTCCACAAGAACACCGGGGATCACTTTGCTCCAGGTGGCCAGCCTTGTAGCCACACAGTCACTGCACACAAACACACGTGTGCGTTGCTGTAATTTCGGGTGAATGCGCGAACAAATGGCAGCGTGAAGCAAACACGGAGACACACAGCTGTGTTGGTTTGACAGCTTATCTGGACAGTAGTCCTGTCACTCAGGATAGAAGCTTTAAATCTGGGATTCATACAGGTTTAGTTCCTGGGTGTCTATATACCTGTGCATAATTTCTACAAGATTATTCACGGTATCACACCTCCGCAGTTGTAGCGTATGTATAAGTCCCCATACCATCACACAAACACAGCTTTTCGTTTCTAAAATCACTCGTGTTTTTTATCCACTAAGACGTGCAGCGCTTTGGTTTTCACGAGGTAGAGATATCATGGGTTCACCTATCCTGCACAGGCTCAGCCAAAGTTAAGATACTGTATTTTGTATAATTCCTAAGTTAGCTTCTTATGCTCATGAGATAAAAAGCAGCTAAATGTGCCCTCCTCAATGCAAAGAGCTGAATTGAAATGGAAAGGCATGCCAAAGATTTAAGGTTAAACCAATTAAGTTGCCTTGCCACACAATGCCGGGGCTGACACACACTTTGGAAGACGCTCGAGCGAATGTGTGTGTGTGTGTGTGTGTGTGCGTGCATCCGCGCACTCGCACGGGAGGTTAATTTATAGAGCACGGAGGAGGGTGATGGGGGGGCGATGCTGCCACAGAAAAGCTTCTATTGAGTGAGTTCTATTAGCATTAGCTTTGGCCCTAGCCTATCTGAGCGGGGAGTGGGGGGGGATGAGCAGAGGGGCAAACCATACAGGCCTCCATTCAATTAGCATCTCATTATGTTGCCATGGCAGCTGGGCTTTAAGCCGTGTGAAGATTTCCCATTGCACCGAGAGAGGGCTGCCATGTTGGAACAAACATATGCGCTCGCATGTGCACGCAAGGCAGACATGCAGGCGCTGGAGAGGAGAGTGACCCGTTCATCTTGTTTTGATGCCACACTTTCGCAGCGCTTCTCCTCCGGAAGCCGCTCGTCTTTGTGCACGGCTCAGCAGCTGTATGCACATGTGCTGTGGGCTGAATTTATAAAGGGGTGTGAGAAAGCAGGCGGCAAAACAATGGGACAGTAAGCAGAGAGATTAACTTAATAAGTCTCCGAGGGTCTCAACTGGACACATTTGCAGCTGGTATATGTGTGTTCCCTCTGTGATTTATTTCCTTTAAGCTGAAACAGGGAGAAACAGCCACTGCTACTCATTATCCCTCCCACACTTACACACATGTAAACATACCTGTAGGTTGTTATCAGGGGCACAATCTGTCCCCGAAGCTCCACTTACTCTTCACCGTGTCACTCTGCCCGATCTGAACTCTCTTCCTGTGAAGTTTTCAGCAGCGACTTTGAAAGCTAACCTTTGATGCTCATCCTTTTTTTTTTTTAAACACAAAGAAGACAGGGATTGAATTGCTTGATGTGGTTTCTGGTCTCCCCCCAGAACAAGTCAGCCAAGATCTAAGGCGCTGCTGAACTTGCTAGAAAGCAGGGTGAGGCTGCTCGCACATGACTGTTTGATCGGAAGCCGACTTCCAAAAAGGCTTTTAAATTATTATTTTCTCGATGTAAGTTATTCAGAAAGCGCACGCACATGTCGGGGTGTTTTTTTTTCTTTCTTTCCGTCGCTCATGCCCTCTCTCCACTCCTTCCTTCTCTCTTCCTCGTGACCGTCTATCCTGTGGAGGGAAGTGGAAACACAAACAGGCTGAGTCTGCCCTGTGGTTTCTCCTCCTCCTCCTCCTCCTTCCCCCTCTTCTGTCTCCTTCTGTTCCTCTCTTCCTCAAATCCATACTTTCCCTTTTCGGTTGCTTGTTCATCTTGTTGACCTTCCTCTTTTTTTTCTTTACTGCTTCATAAACAGTTACCACCAACTTCATCTTCACCACTTGTTGTTTTGGTTTTTTGCATCGGGGTGCCATTGTCTCTCCTCTCCTCTCCACCTTCTCCCTCTCAAGCCTCAGGAGCCTGGTTCCCAATCACACGAGTACTATCACTGACCCCAAGTGGTGAACTGGCAGAACGGCAGACATGATGCGTACTTTATGTGGTATTCATTTTTTTTCTATTTTGTCCTGTTTTCTTCCTAGGATGCCCCTGCACAAGTCCAGCTCTGAAGATGGATCTGGAGGTAAATTGAGATTCATCGGCACAAATTTAACTTGTATTCTTAAGATAAGCTACTCAGCCTGTAAAAGTCGTTGTCTTCTTGGGCTCAGAGAGAAAATTGTCAAGTCAGAGATGATGATGTTATGGTAGGTCCATCAGGTAGTTTCTTTTCAAGCTCGACATGTACCAGGCAAGGAGGGTATCCTTAAGCTGCCATTGGTTGCATGATGGGAAACACAAGAAACCTGTTAATGTTTTATAATTAAGCTGGTGGAGTATTTCTAGCTACGTTCTCAGATTGTTCAAACCTGTTTTCTAGCATGTTTTTCCCTTTGCGTAACTCAGCCGATCCTTTCCTCCATGCAGGCAAATGGGACAACAAGAAGAAGAACAAATCTTTCTGGCAGAACTTCCGCAAATCTCAGCACAAACCCGTCGTGCGGCAGACATCCAAAGGTTTGTCCGGCTCTCTTGTTTGTTCACGTCCAAAGTTGTTCGGTATTCGTTGCGTCACATTCGCTGCTTTCGCCCCGACCAGGAGAGGACATCGGCTACGTGGCCAGCGAGATCACCATGAGCGACGAGGAGCGGATCCAGCTGATGATGATGGTGAAAGAGAAGATGATCACCGTGGAAGAAGCTCTGGCTCGGGTAGGATTCGCCACCGACTTCCTGCCTCCCTCCCAACTCCTTCCCTCAACCCCCAACACCCGACTCCCAGACCTAAAACCTCCCTTCAAGCTCCATATCCCTTCACCGTCTCCTGGATTAGAGTCTAGCTCCCCCACTACATACTCCCATGACAGCTCTGGCTTACTAAAACGACTCACTCTTACTAACCCTTGCGAGGCCCCATATTTTAACCCTGCATTGTTCTCTTTACACACAAACACACACACACACACACACAAACTCCAGACCAACTGGCGTGTCCAGAGGTTTCGGGAGTCGGGGGATTTTAGGGTGTGAGCTCTTGGAGTGTGTGTGGGTGTGTTGTTTCAGCTCATAATCGCGAGGTTGACGGTCATAGTAACTCAATAGCCCCATCTGCCGGGGAGGATGCTGTGGTGCATTGTGGTTTTTCTCTCTAGGTGGACATGGTGGATTTTCATTTGGCTTTCCTATCAATGTTCTTTCATTTCAATCTGACTGCCAATCAATTTCTATTGATTGTTCTGTCTTTTTTTTTTCCTCTCTCTTTTTCTACTTGGGTTTCCTTTTCTCTTTCCTCCTCCCTCCCCTCGTCGTTCACAATCTCTAATGCCTTGCTCCTGGGTAGCATGACCGTCCAGCAGCTGGACTCGCTCTCCACAAGGCAGATGTTCATTCTTAATTCTCACAGCTGTCCAGAGACTGATGCTCCGTCAAACCAATCAGCCAATCGATGAATCAGCCTTTGTGGATAGTGCTTTTGTGTTGTTGTTATGCTTGTGTTTGTCTTTGCGTAGGATGTATTCTGTATCCGTGATCAATATCATCATGTAGGTTTTTATTAGCATTTGACACAACAAACATAAACCCAAAGTTACACATAAATCTTAATGACAAAAATCACACACATAAAAAAGGTCAAGCAGCACATTGGTACCACAACACAGTTTCCTTAGTTTCTCAATACAAGCTCAAGTATTTTCTCATTATCGTACCAGTTTATTCCATTTCTACAAGAACCTTTTGTCCTCATAGCATTTCGTTTTATTTTGTTGTATCACGAGAGAACTTATTTCACACAACCAACATATCTCATGAAAACTGGCTTATACAACCCATACAATGATTTGTTGGTCTGCTGATATGACTAGAAGCTTCCATGTGGGCTAAGACATCACCTGAAAGCTACATCATTGTCACACGATCATCGTTTAACAAGACGTGACATAATGATCTAGTCCGATGTAGAAACTTTCTTTTACACACGTCGTACAAAAAGCGATGGTTGGGCATCATTTAGAATCAGTGTCATTACAGATCTGACTCCTCTTAGCGCTGTCTGCAGCACATGTAGCAGAGAATGCATTGTGACTGAGCAGATGGTGGTGCCGAGTCGATCAGTGTCTTTGCCATAAGTAGTTTGTGAAACACTTTGCTGGAATGCTAACAAACAATGACCCCATCAGAATTTCATACTCCTTAAAATCGGCATCGTCCCTAAAATTCTGGTAACAGTTGAGCTCTGGTACTGAACCATGTCACTCTGGGACACGATCTCGCCCCACTCTGACCCTGTACAGGAAAAGTGGTACAGATACAGTAAGGAATGGGTATTTAGCGTCTGTGGCAGGGTGATGATGGCGTAGATGCAGGACCATTCTTTGATACTCACATGCGACAACACTGCTCTGACCAACACCTGGACAAAGCCTGGTCATGGACAGACACAAGTCATCACTCAATCATTACTGATAGGCACACAAACAGCTCCTAGTTATATGACATGAAACACAATTTTTATACACAGCGCCTCTTCAGGCACTGAGTGGAACTGTTTTTTTAGAACGCCATATGAAAGTTTCTTATCATGGAAGTTATGTTGGTTTTGGGAATTAAAGCTATCATGACAAAAAAACAAACTTTCTTGCACAAATAAAATAAATTGGATCTCAAATGCAAAGAAAAAAAGTCATAATGATGCAAAAAGGTTCTTGCAAAAATGAGCAAACTGAAGTGAAAGGAAAATTAAAAAAAGGAAGTAAACGTACTAATTTGATCGCTGCTTGCCTGATGATCACCATCCTCCCGCTGGAGAACACACACCATGTCACTGTGGATGTATGGAGAGAGGTGGCATGCTGGGTGAGAGTGGCTTCCCCCGGCCCTGTTCCTCTGTCTCTCTAAACTCTTCTTCTCCATGTAGCTGAAGGAGTATGAGCGCAGCAGACAGTCCAGCAGCACTGACACTGCTGAGTGGACTGACGGATCCGCGCCCAATCTAAACCAGTCCTCGAACTGCAACGTAAGTACACCCTCACCCCCGTCACCCTCCCAGACCTTCACCTGTCTCCCCCTTTTTTTACCTCTCGTAACACTCTCACCTTTCAGTTTTGTTTTTCAGCCGAGGAGGTTGTGATGGAGAGCAGCGCTTTTTAGTTTGATATATATATATGTGTGTGTGTGTGTGTGGATGTTTGTGTTTAACTTGATGTTAAGATTTTAGATACCATTCACTTTGATTTTGGACAGTGTCATTGCATAAAGCACCTTCGCTCAACTTTTACCTGACCTTCCTCTCACTTTATCTATCTTCCTCTCTCTGCTCTTCATTAACCGGCCAAACCTACAACACAGCCTTTGCACATACAACCTCTCCACCATGTCACATGATAGCATCGGTGCTGGCTCTGAAAACTTCAGGCTGGGTTTTTTTTTCTGAGGCTGCCCTCGTGAATTGGCAGCCGCTCCGAGATCTATGCAATTTGCTGCAAGTGCTCCTCCATATTTTATTCATCAGCCTCATCCTCTCATGGACGTCTCATTTGGAATTTATCCCAACAAAGTCAGAACTGGCTGCTGCAGTGACGGGGAAATTGTCTTGTTGGAAATTTAGGTCATGTTTGTTTACATCAATCAGTTGTAACTGCAACAAGAGGAGAGCCGAGCGGAGCGAAATCCACCGCAAATCTCTCGGAGATAAGCTTTCGTTAGCGGTGATTTTGTCTGATTTTTGAGCCTTGGAGGAAAAACAAAAAGCTTCCAAACCTCTCCTGACCACCTTTAAGGGAGTTGAGAACACTTTATTTTGTAGGAATCATCTCTAGAACAGATGCTGTAAGTGGTGGCGTTGGGGTTCAGACAATCATCTCCTGTTGGCTGTTGACTGGGGACAATCGGTCACTTCTCTCTGTTGTGTGTGTGTTTGTGTGTGTGTGTGTGTGTGCTGGTGTGTTTTCTTTATTTTAATGGAGGTTTAGTCGTGGTGCGGATTCAGTCCTCTCAGTGGTTTCATTAGTTTTCTACGGTATTTCGTCATATGGGAATAGGTCATACTCTGACCCACTTCTTTTTTCTTTTTTTCCCAGAAAGTGACTTTATCCAAACACAAAAATTCCAACGTCCTCTAAAAGAAATAACAAACTACACTTACGGATTGCTGCTGTTTTGAAATGCGCTACTAATTCCTAACTAAACAGTACTGACTTTAATCCAAAACCAGTTGCGTTGGCTCTTCCTGTATCCTCTTTGTGCATGGATGTGTTCGCTCCAACGCCGTCACACATAGACGTTTGATTTTTATACTTCAGTGTCGGATGTTATGGACTTTTACATCCCCTGTGACTTCTCAGTAAGGAAATCAGATCTCCATTGCTGTTTCTCACTATAACAGAATTAAATCTAAGGAAAATGAGTTTCCTCACATAGTCAAGAGTCCCTGTTAAATTATTCTTCGGGGTAATGATTGATGATTTCCTTCCACGTGAAAAATAGGTCAATTATGCCAAGCTCAGCCAAAGTTCTGTCTGTCGTTTGGCTCTTTGATGTGGCTGCTCGAATTGTGCACGAGCCTCGCGATCGCCTTATCGGTTTCGTCAAACCTTGCGTTACCCCTCCGCCGCTTGCCGCTCACTTCCTGCGGCGAAGGAGGTTGATCGATCGGGGATTTTCGCAGACATGAGGGAGGGCTGAGGAGGTACAGTACTGAAGGAGCATTGTGCAGAAGGAACACACAGTTTGACTCGGGAGGCAAGTGCTGGAGGCAGAGAGGAAACAAGGGAGACAGAGAGAGTGAAGATAAAGACTTTGCACTCGTCGCCAAAGGGGATTAAAAAAAAAAAAAAAAGAAAAAGGGGGGAGAGAGTTCTTGTATCTCCTCTTGCCCCAAGTTCCAAAAATGTCCACTGCAGGAAATATTTCTACTCTGTTGGGGCCTCGATCAGTGTCACATACTGGCCACTCTCCTCCCCAGTGAATGGAATTAGGTCATTCCCAAATTCAAACAGTTAACACTTCTGTGCATTCTATATAAAGACGTGAACATACAGTGCACGCTTGTAGCTGACATGTCTCCAAATGTACAGTTCTTTGACTGGTCTGTGGCTTCTTTTTTTTTCTCCCCCGATGCTGCCTTTCTCTGGTCTGTCTTACCCCAGCGATCAGAGCCCACATTCCAGGGCTGGCCATTAGCGATTTGGGGGCCAAGGCAGGGTCAGAGGGGCTCAAACGCTGGGATTGTTCTCCACGCACAACACGCCTTTTCTCTGCTCGCTATGCAGCACGGCACTTCCAAACAGTCCCTCATTCCTCTGAGCTGAACTCGCTAACAGGCTGCATCTGTATCTGCCGGCATGTGCGCAGGGACGTAGATGTTGTTTTGCAAAGTACATGCACGGGAATGTGGCGACCGTGGACTCGCTGGTGTATTAACATAGGAGGTGGCACCCTGCTTGTTTCCTTTTTTCAGTGACTTGGTAAGTTTTGTATTTGTTCTTTCTGAATCAGATTCTTTCTCTTGTAAATGCTCTTTTCTGTTTTTTTTGTACAGATTTTGCAGAAGGGTTTTGGCTCGCACCACAAAAATGTTGATTTGTGTGACTGACCAAAGTTATGCGAACGAACCCCAAAGTAATTTGTGAATTGAAAAGGCAATTGCGGTGGTGGGATTTTTTTGCTCTGACCTTGTTTTCAATGGCGGCCTTTGAGCCCTCCTTGATTCATGGCCTCATGTGTTTGGCTTTCTTTCTGTGTGTTTCACATTTCCGCTGTTTATGCGGTGATTTGCATGGATGCTGCTCTCTGGGTCTGGCTTAGAATTTATATGTCACTGTCACCCCGTCCCATTTTATAATCAAAGAATAATCATGAGGATTAACTACAGCGTGACTAAGACAGTTGCAGTAACTTCACCTGAGAAAATGTCACGATTTCCAACTCTAGATATCGAACAGAGCAAAGTTCTAGAAGCATACCGGACTCAAAGCCTTTCTACTCTTTTATCAGTCTGGTCATTGCATTACATTTTCTGAAAATAAAACGCTTAAGCATCATCCAGCGCGAATGGAAACTTGCAGAAGCCTCCGCTGCAGCCAGAATTGTATGGTTCAGTTGAGGGGATTGTCAAGGGCTGAGGGACGGCGGAGTTATGGGTTTTTAGAAACATATTTCTGCGGGTTTGATTAAGAGGAGAAATGAGTGGCTGTGCCCCGGTTCTGGTCCGCTGCACTGACATGACAGAACACCTCAGATTTCATCATGCCACCAGAAGAGCGAAGCGATGGAAAGTTTGAAAGAACGGACCGGCGTGACGACACGTTGATTCTTGTTCGACTTGGAAAGTAGTTAGTAATCCAGTGACATACTTGGAGGAGCGTCTTCAGTGTTGTGGTGCCGCCTACTGTCAGCTGTTTGCTCCAACCGAGGCGCGCTTGTTGACATCGTTGTAATTAGCTGTGTTTGGAGCTGTCATGTATTCTGAATCTGTGTTTCTGTGTTTTCTACTGAGCACAGTCCTTGAAGATGGCCGGTTAGAACTGGTTTACACACCAGGAGACGACTGTTACTTTAGATACACGCCGTACCAACAACATCCACACATGATGCTCACCACGTTTGGAGAGCGTGGACAAGAGCCTGGATGAGGTATTCCTGTCCACGTCATTGGCAACTGGCCAATCATACTCGGTTGTGTATGACCTCTGTCCGGAGCAGGTCCAGCTCAAGAAGATAGATGTGAATCATTTCTGGATGTTGGAGCTCCTTCTGATGGAGCCCTGTCACTCCGAGCCCACTTTACCTGTGACCTGAATAAATTCTACATCTGTGAACTGAAGATTTCTCCGGTTTGTTCTGAAGAATCAGAGCTAACAGCATCATCCCCGCTGTATGTCAGCAGCCTTTTAGCCAGTTTCCTGCTCTTAAGCTTCAGTGATGCAAGATAAGGGGACTTTTTTTTTAAAATCAGACACAGAGCTACTTCCTGCAGCTCTGGCCTGTCTAGTCCTGTGTATGTGGGCGTGCACGCATGCATGTCGGCCCCGTGGACCGTGGAACTGACAGCGTGTGACCACTAGACAAGGTGGTGTCGCTTTGGCAACCACGGACACAGAGTTGTTTGAGATGCATGATAATGGCGGCGGTTTCTGGCGGGCTATCGTCATGCCAAAGTTCAGCTCATCATCACACATCCAGATCATGACAGCTGCTTAGGAGGAGAAGGGCTTCTGTGTGTGTGTGTGTGTGTGTGTGTGTGTGTGTGTGTGTGTGTGTGTGTGTGTGTTGGTGATGAAAGTGTTTTTGAACCACTTCCTCTGGAGTAATGAGTCTCTGCAGGCAGCATAACGCCAAAAGGACCATTTATTGTTGCACAGATTCATTATGTCATCCGGTTGTGCCAATTAAATGACTATTTATGTCGTGTGCTTCATTATTTCAGCGCATTTCAGTCCGATTTCACTTTGAGTGTGAACTTTACACAATGCAGTGTTCCACCATCCCTCCAGTCCTCCATCTCTCACCTCACTAACGTCGTTATCGTCCTAAACAAAGCTCCCGTCCATCGCATTTCAGCAACGTCCACCTAAATCGCATAAGAGTCCACGTCGAAGTGTTTTACTTTCTCTGCAAATTTTAAACAACACCACACATTTCCTGTGATCTGTGAAACATTGTGCTGAACTGGAAATAGGCTGTTCCCTGCTTTTGCCAATGTCATTTTACACAACTTTTTTATTTATTTATTTATTTTTAATAAGGGAACTTTCACTTTGATTTTATCACCCCTCTCTCTTTTCTCTCTCCCACCAGTCCCGTGAACAGTCAGATGATGAGCAATCAGAGGACTCTGTGAAGTTCAAACGGCTTCACAAATTGGTTAACTCGACACGCCGGGTCAGGAAAAAACTCATCAAGGTGGAGGAGGGCAAGAAACACGCCTCTGAAGGTTCGTGGTTCTGTCCGGGGATTAGAAATTCCTTTGATTAACTTAGATTTTAATAAAGCTGCAGTCTTGAAAATCAGCTTCTTGCACTAAATTGCCATCTGAAGGTTATTGGAAATGAATAAATAGTGTTAGAAGATAGTGTGGTCGTCTTACTCAGACTTTTAAAATGTGTGTGGCTCGCTCTGGTGTAGAAAACCACAGTTAGAATCATGGGACTGAACTCAAGTCTTGAGTCTTTCCAAGTAACAGCTTGTTGGACTGACTATTTCTGCCTCTTCTTTAGATTTTCTGAACCTGGAGGCTCCTCCCACATGTGAGGACAACACCGCTCTGTACACAGGCGTCCTGAAGAAGCCCCTTCTGCCCCAGGAGGCTTCTCTGCCCTCCCTCACCCACGATCAGCTCTCTCTGGATGGAGACACAGACAGTCTGACGACCTCCCCTTCCTCCAGCAGCCTGGACACCTGGTCCGGACACAAGTTGGTCAAAACCTTCAGCAAGTCTTCCAGTACCCACGGTCTCATCCGGCCTCCCAGGAGAACCCCAGCTGGCTCCAGCGCCCTGGGAGGCTCCATCTCCGCTGTGGCAGGCAGCGGCTCCTCCTTCTCGGAGCTCGACGGCTGTGGATTGGACGATGAGGGAAAGTTGTCGCGCTCCACAACCGACGGCGAGATGAGGAAGGCCCTGAGCTCCATCTCCCACGGGGTAAGTAACAACGAGGCGCTCTACACCTTCTATGGCCTCACCAAACCCCGTCCCAAACCCCACTCCCAGTCCCGCCTCCTCATCTCCTTGGATGACGGCCACCAAGGCAGCCCCAAACATCAGCCTGCCAGCCGGCACCACGGCACCTGGACGCACCGGAAACCCGACCCCAACTACGCATATTCCACCAAGCATCTGCTGTACCAGCGCTCGCGCAATGCCAAGACCCCCGTCTCCCCCTTGTCTGTCACCCCTTCCTCCCCTGTCCGCTGTGAAGTAGCCAAATCAAAATGTTTCGGCAGCGGGGGAGGGGGCTGGGTGTTCCCCTCCCGCAGGCTGCGTGGCCGAACAGCCGTCAGTGAGCTGAACATCACCTATGTGGTGGAACGGAGCCTGTATGGTCACCTCAACTGGGCCCAACTGGTTCGCCCAGTGACCCTCAGCCGCGCTGAGCGCCGCTGTCTGTTGGAGGAGGACCGTGAGGCGGACAGGAAGTGGGCGGCCAGCGTGGACCGCTGCACCAAGCGGGTGCTCTTGCGCATCCAGCAGAAGTCTGTGAGTTCAGACCGTGAGGTTTAAATCGGCCGCCTCGTGTGAGCGGGACTCAGTGTGCTTCAAAGTTGCAGAATAGCTCAGAAGTGAAGGTGTAAGGGCCACAGCAGGTCAAATGTCTTTAACTCACCTGTTTAATATAAAAAACATCAACATCCATAGCGTTGTAGACGTCCTTATGTACGGAAAATGTCAAGAGCTGGCATACCTGTCACAGACCTAAGTGCCCTGAGAGCAATGCCATCTTCTGTGACCTTTAAGTGAATGCCTTTGGCTTCAAACCTTTTTATTTCAGTTGTATATGAAATGATTATAGAATGTGCAGTGACCCACTTGGGGGGTTAAGTTGCAGCAGAGGTTTTCATAAGTGCCTTTTATAAATGTCGGATCCCTGAAGAACATGTGCACTCGCACAGTCACACTGATCCCTGTGGGCAAAGGAAATGTACCAGCTCGGAGCTGCTCATCTCTATAACTGCACAGCACACAGCCTGAAAGACATGTTCAATGAGCGGCCTCATTAAGTCAGCTTCAGCGACTGACTGGTCTTTATGCTTAACAACTTTCAAATTGATGCTGCGAGGCTGAGGATAGCAACAAAAAGATGGAAAGGATAGAAAAGCCTACTCATCCTGCAGTGATTGTAAAATAGATTTGTAATTTTAACCGGCAAGAAAACAGTCTGGTTGAATTGCAAGTGCCGTAGCTGTTCCAGCAGAAGCAGTGACACACAGCGGGTGGTGAAATAGCAGAGCTATCCTGCAGCTTTGAGGGTACCTGAATCCTATCGTGTTCTAGTGAAATCACCGGAGGTCGTTCTCATCCAAAAACTCTCTGAATCCACTTTTTCTGTTGTTGCTTTTTGTCTTCTTTTTTGGCCCGTGCCGCTATTGCAGATGTGATCTTTTTTTTTAGTTGTTTTCTTTTTTTCTTTTTTTCCTAGTAATTATCTCCGAGAGACATTTTTTTCTGGGTGCATGTCCATTCCATTGTGCATCATCATCACATTCAGACTTCTTTTGGGACTTTTCTGTTCTCCAAACTGCTTTTCGTTGGAAGCTGTGATGTGGACTGCAGCTTTGGACATGTAACATAAAACCTATTTACTCCAAGTGCAGAGCTTTTTGTACTTGGAGATGCTTCGCCCAGGGTTTTGTGGGGGTTTAGCCGAGTTGTTTAGCGATGGCTCGTGAAGCAGAAGAGAATTGCCATCGAGTGCCGCACTTGAAATGAGAGCGATTTTTTTATTTTTTTTTTGGCAGCTGCTTTATGTGCGTGACTGTGTCTACGTGTTTGTGTGTTTAAGGGCGATTCCAAAAGTCAAAGCCCGTTTAGAGATACAAACAAAGTGTTTTTGTTATCATATCACAGTTCCCCTTTTGTGTCTCCCCTTATTTTGTTGTTGACCTCTAAAGTCGAGGGAATAAAAATCGCCTCTCGGCAGAAACGAGCAGCTCTCTCGGAAAATGTTTCTGATGAGAATGACACGTTGTCGGCGGCTCCTAGCAACTGACCTGTATGTTGTGCATGTTTGTAAAATGTGCCCAGTTTTTATTTTGTATTTCTCATAATTAATCACAACATGAATTGCATCGGGATCAAATGCAATGAATATATGTTCACTTGTAAAAGTGCGTTTATATATTTCAGCTCAACCACATCAAAAAAAAAAAGGTTTAATTTAGTGTTTTCTCCAGGGACGCAAGTTTTAAAGGACTCGAGCCAACAGTATAACAGCTCATTCGCCGAGGACCATGCAGTCACTTTAAAGAGGAGCTCGTAGAACTGTTTGTTACATCACGTCTGTTGGCTGTCCACAGTCCCGTATGACATCATGCCACCACATATGTACAGACCATACACCCATGTACATGAATCAAACTGCTGCCTGTGTCGTGCCAAGCATGAATCATTGTGATTTGACTCAGTGGGAGAGGGTTGGGGGGGGAGGTTTCTGCAACGTGACCCTCCTGGAGTGTCGCTCATCGGTTGTGCTTGGGCTCCCCTACAGAGAACGTGCAGCTTCGGCGGCTTCGACCTGTCCAACCGCTCGCTCCATGTGGTCAACACGGGCTCCGAGGCCAACGTAAGTTCTGGCTGAACTCTGCTGTCACGCTAAACCACCTTTTATCTCTCGCTCTTTTGTTTTTCTGATCTCTCCGGCCTTTTGTCTTCTCCTTGTTCAATCTGATCTGGTCTCATCTCTCGCTCTGTCGTCTCCATCCTCCTCTCATCACAGAATAAAGAGCAGGAGGCGATTTACAGAGAAGTGGTCAAATCTCCCACCACGTCTCGGATCTCGCTGGGCAAGAAAGTCAAGTCGGTGAAGGAGACGATGAGGAAGCGCATGTCGAAGAAGTACAGCAGCTCCCTGTCCGAGCAGGTCAGACGGAAACACGCGTCGCACTTTAGTTGTCGAACATTTGTGTTTCAGGACGAATGAGGTTCATCTAAAGCAGTAAAAAACAGTCGAACCATTGTTTAAAACGGAACAGTGGTTCACACATCATCCCTGTGATCCCCACAACACGACGGTAAAGAAATAAAAGAGCTCCCCATGCACAGCAAACACCGAGAGGATGTTTTGCAGCGTAAGCCACATCTCCTGTCCGCAGGCTGCGGGTGGGTGGGAGTGTTTGTTAGTTACAGAATAAACACAAGAGCATGAAACACATTTGGATGTGTGTCTCTCTCTCTCTGCTGGGTCCAGTGTCGAGGGTGGAGTGAGCGCTTGGTGTTGAGCTCATGGAGTGATGCAAGCCCCCCCCCCTAAAAAAGAAGGGCCAGCTCTTTGTAAAAATGGGGAGCTAAAAAGTGTCTCATCTGCAGTGGCCTAATTTTTGTGGGGTTTTACCCGGTGGCTCGTCCAGCCCCACAGTTTGATGTGTCAGTGGTGCTGGAGCGTCCCCTCAGCACCGTGTGACCCACATATCCTGCCGTGAGTCACGGAGACATCGGCTGAGAATGAGTAAAATGAAAAATGAATTGCCTCGTCACAATGTCAGCAGCTATTTAGCGGACCACAGCGCCCCCTGGTGGACTGCCGAGACAAGTACAAGCAAGATGTGAACATATAAAACATACCTACAGGCCTCCTCTGATGTGTTCATCCCCTTCCATTAAAGAAAAGGCAAAACTCACGATAGTCACTCAAATAACTAGAAACTGAAAAAAATAATAATAAATAAAAATTTGCTAAATTATTATTTAGTGAAATAAGAAGTTGCTTTTGAATTGTGGTTGAAAAGAATAATTAAAAAAAAACAAACTGTGCCTCATTCAGCATAATATTAGTTTATGGGTCCCATCATGTTTGTTTGCTTGTTGTTGTTGTTTTTTTTTTTTTAAATATTTCTGTTGAACCACAATTTAAAAGCAATTTTCATAAAATTTTTATTTGTTATTACTTTTGTCAATTTCAGCTTATTTCAGTGACTGAAGCTGTTTTTTTCCTTCTTTAATGGGAGGCTATGAACACATCTGAGGACGGCTGTAGATGTTGTATTGTTGTCATTTTTAAAGACTTTATTGACTTCAAATGGGATCTAGTAAGATTTGATCCAGTTCTGACAAATTTATTCCCAAGAATCCAGCAAGAGTCAAGTCGTGTTCGTTATTCTCAGTTATGACTAAAAGAAAAGGCATGAAATTATCGACATTTTTCAGCTATTAATGGGAAAAAAAAGTGCACATTTAGTTTATTATTGGCTGAAAGAAATAGTTTTGTGCATGTACCTGCTTTGACATCAGTAAAGAACAAAAACAAATGCTGATGAACCCCATCACTCTTCCCTTCTCTTGCCTTTTCTTGGTTTCCACTGGTTTCCCTCAGACCTGCCCAGTTAAATGTTTTCCTTAATCAAGGTTTCTATCAGGGTGTGTCGCGTTAAAGACATCCGGACGTGCACACACACGGAGACTTGCAACATTAATTATTACACACTCACGCACAAAACATAAAAACACTCACATAAATGTAGACGTTGTGCTGCAAGTATGGAGAGGTTTCTGACTCTGAGGCCTTCAGAGCCTCAGGGTTTGCTGACAGTCACAAGACACTTTGGAAAGAAAAAAAAAAACCCTCTTAACCACCATCTTCTAACATTTCTTTGCTTTTCTCTCGTATTCTTCCCCCTCTGTTTGTGTCTTTTAGTCCAGTCCGGATGGAGCCCCCGGTTCCCCACAGTCCCCGCTGCCTGACACCGACTCTCTGGAGAAGCCGAAGCTGAAGGCCGGAGGCTCCGTGGAAAGCCTGCGGAGTTCACTCAGCGGACAGAGTTCAATGAGTGAGTCTGTCACAAGAACCAGTAATCAGAAAAAAAGCTTTTACCTTGTTTTGTTTTTGACATTTTGAATAAAGAAGACATGATTTAGAATCTTTTAATTCAGGTGAGGAGCACATAATTAACATTATGCTGCAGGATGTCAGCACATCTGCCTCATGTGAAACATTGCATGCAAGTACGTGTTTGATTAAACGGCCTGTTTGGTGGAAGCGTAACACTAGATGGTGCTGGACACATTTGCTGCCGTCTGCTTCTGGCATTACTCGTATATCAATTTGGATTTCTGTGGCGCGATCACACCCAGCTGACTCATGACCCCAGAGAGCTTTTCCCAGCGTGTTTCTTGATCTCTCAGGTCATTTCATCTAATTGCATTTTCTGACATCTTCACTTTGGCGTTTCTGTCTCGCCTCTGCGGTTAAAATCTCTTTCCATCGTTTCAAGCTCGGGACAAACTGAAGACCTGGCAGATCTTCAGCAGGCATAACATCCGGTAGTGATTAGGGAGGAAGTCTTTCCTCGTCGGTTCCCGAACATCGACGCGATTTCAACGGAGGGAAATATGCAGCTTCACCGGGGATTTTAAAGTGACCCTGTTGAAGTTTTCCACTCACTGTGAAACCAGAAATGTAGACGAGTTTAGAGCCTGATTAAATAAAATCAGTGTCGTCTTTGACTGCTTGGCTGACCCGTCTTTGTAGATTCATGCCTGTTGCTGCAGTGTGAACAGGAGGAGATGTGGATCATCCTGGAATCCTCTCGTTAATAAAAGTTTTTTTTGTGATGATTTCTAATGTTCACGTGTCTTTGCGTCCAGGCGGCCAGACGGTGAGCACCACCGACTCATCGGCCAGTAACCGAGAAAGCGTGAAGTCAGAAGACGGCGACGATGAGGAGCCGCCCTACAGAGGACCGTTCTGCGGCCGAGCCCGGGTCCACACAGACTTCACTCCGAGCCCTTATGACACCGACTCCCTCAAACTCAAGGTTCAGATGCTTCGTGTGGTCGAGTTTACATCCTTGTAGCTCCAGAAGAGCAGCTGTACAGATGTGACGCTTCATGATGATGATTAGAACAGATTAGAACTTGTCCCTCCATTTATTAACCCTCTGAACCCCAAAGCCTGACAGTAGGTTGAAAAGTCATGGTGTTCATTTTTCCAATAGTTCTTGAACTACTCACCTGTGATATTTAATTCTGCTGGAAAAATTGACCAAACCTGAGCTTCAAATTGTGATATTTTATCAAAATCGCTTCATTCTACATGTCTGATTCTGTAAAAAACTGAAAGATTTGAGCTCCTTGGTGCAACTGAGAAGCTGTAACCAACAACCTCATGACAAAAATTCGGTTAACTTCTTGGGTTGATCTGCCAGCGGTGTTTCGACAGAGGAGATAGAAGTGTGTAGAAACAGTAAAATGTCTATAATATGTAGAGCCACCGTGGTTTCTTCCAGGCTTGATAACACCTGTTGGCAAATTGTGTTCAATTTTTGTAAAATAAATATTCAAAGAAATTAGAATTTCCATTTTAATTTATGACATTTTCGTTTTGTTTCAATGCATAAAGGACCTTTTTTTAATTTGCTCTACTTATAGCCCTGGTTGTTCCATAGAGGCACCAGACTTTATCACACGGTGAAAAATGAGCCCACAGTGATGAACAATTTGACACGAGCCAAGAAAGTCCCAGAGACTGATTCAACAACGTGGCAGCACAGTGTTACAGTTACACCACACAGTCAGGCTTCTGTCAGCTTAAAGAAAGTGCATCAGCTGTTCAGTTTGTCTCTCATGTCCAAGTCTTTTGAAACAACCCTTCGGGTCAGATCCCTCCTCTGATGTCTTTTCTCTGCGATTCTCCAGCGCGGGGACGTGATTGACATCATCAGCAAGCCGCCGATGGGGACGTGGATGGGCCTGCTGAACAACAAAGTGGGCACCTTCAAGTTCATCTACGTGGACGTGCTGAACGAAGAAGAGGAGAAGCCCAAAAGGCCCGTGAGGAGGAGGAGAAAGGGCCGACCACCCAAACCCACGTCGGTGGAGGAGCTGCTGGAGCGCATCAACCTCAAGGTAGAGCCACATTGTTGTTGTATTCAGCAGCGAACAGCTCAGACGGTTTGGTTCTACGCATCGTAGAAACCAGTGTGAACTTTTAAAAGCCCACCCAATCTGACACTTCAGCGAGATAAAAGCAAATCTTTTGAAGTAAATTAAAATGTTGTTTTAGTCATGTATCTTAAACACACTCACAGACAAGCAGAGATAAATACAGTGCACCCGATTACAGGCTGCACGCTTCAGGATGTTTGATCCGACACTGATGCATAAACATTAACGCCCACATCGTGACAACCACGCCCCAACAAATAACTTGCATCTTTCATCAAATCCTACACGTCGCTGTGAGCTCGATAGCATCTCCTCCCACTCAGGCAGCCGGCCGGTCTCACTTCCCCAAATAGACACAAAGAAGTTTGTGGGCTGTCTGTTTCATCTCTGGCTACCTTAACAGCCAAGTCACAGATTGAAAGATTGATGCTGTGACGCTGCTCATTACAAGCGCATCAGAGCGCTCGTGCATTCTCGGTCACAACCGGGTTAGTGGAGTGGGCGAGTTGCACTTCAACGCAGCCAGAGTGCATTATTAGTTGTTAGAAACGAGCCTAAAAATTACTGCAAGTGTGTCAACCCTCTGAACTCATCAACACACCAGCTGGTTTGAAAAGAATTAAATAAAATAAAATAAAAACATTTTACCAGACACAGGACAAACTGATCCTGCTGAATTTACAACATTTCAAATGTCCTTGAACTACTCGTCTTTAGTGTGCGGTTGGAAAACTTCACCAAATCTAAGCTTACAGTCGAGATATTTCACTTTATTTTATTGTTTTTTTTAAAAATTTGCAAAAAAAGGGTGTTTCCTCTGAACTGATTCTGTAAAAGTGAAAAAAAAAATAATAATCTGGTGTCTTAAGTCTGTATTTTATTTTATTTTTTTACATTTTGTGAAATGAGGAATAAAAGTAATTCAACTTTCTTCTTTTTTATGATTTATGGCGCTATACTTTTGTGCTCTACCAAAGATTTTTTTCGAGTTCTCTCTACTTCTAGCCACGGTTTTGGACTTAATATTGCAGTAAAAATGAGCCCACAGTGAGGAAAAATGGCAATGAAGGCAAAAACATTGCTAAAAAAGTCTGAGCCGTTCTATGTGTTCTTTGTAAGGCTTCATGGATTATATCAAGTACTTAGAAGTTTGGTCTGGCGAGGTTTTTGGTTCCCTCATTGGCAGATTTCTACTTCAATGTAAATCAGTTCCAGTGAATGCGTCACTTAGCTGGACTCTGTGGAGTTACCAAACTCTGTTCCATCGGCTGACTCCCTCTCAGTCTTTAAGAAAAGACTAAAGACCAGCTCTTCACTGAACACCTCTGACAGACTGAAAACAAACAAATAAATAAACATTCCTATCACCTCCCTACAGCCTGCTGTTGGCATCAACGCCCTATCACACCTGAACTTGTCCTACGTCTCTCATCCAGGTTGTTTCCTCCTGACCAGAGCCTTGCTGGTGTTGTTTCTGCTCTCAGATCGCTTTGGATTGAAGCTGAATGAAATTGTAGAATTATTTTCAATAATCAGGTCTCCAGACTAATTTTTTCACTGGTGGCAACGATGCGACTTCCTTTCTCATTTGCTCACACCTCCCACCCGCTCACAGGCAAAACACATGACTCGCTTTCCTTATCGATGGACGCCACAATTTACACATGTTCCCTAAACGCCCCACGTTGCAGGCTGTGGTCGCCGCTTTTGGTATCTGTGGTGCGCTCAGACAGGTGTGTGACCAAAAATGAGTTTAAAAAGATGCAACCAGGGTGTTCTAGCGTCAGATTTAGTAACCGACAGCAGCTGCCTGTGCAGGTCACAGCGACACCAACACAGCCTCGTGGTCATCAGCGCCACCGTTTGAAATATTAGCTCTAACTATAAGGCTTCAAATGAGCCCTGATCATGTAAATCCATCCGTTCTCAGGTTTCTGTCTGCTACAGAGTCCGTGCTCATAGAGCTTGATGTCTACGTCAATACCGTATGATTTGCAATTAACTATCTGAGGCCAAAGAGTTATTTTGAACTGTAAGAAATTCTCAGCACAAACCCACGGTTCCTGTCTGTAGCTGTGAAGTCAGACTTTCCACACCCCTGCACCTTTTGGCTGGTGGGTTCTGCAGCTGAATACTCTTTGGATTTGGTGGATGTTTAAATTTTTCAACTGACCAAAAAGAAAACCAAAAAAAAAAAAAGAGCGCGATTGTGTCAGTGAAAGGGCCCAGCTGCCTGTGTTTGTGTTAGTTGGTGGTCCTTTGTTTAGTCCTGCATCATCCAGCAGAAATAGAACAGAGCCACGGCCCTCCTCTGCGGCTCCACCGTTGTAATTGACGGTCTTGCTGGTGACGCACCGTGTGTTTATTTGTCCAACAAAATGTGTCGCACAAGCGCAGAACCCAGCAGCAGCATTCAAAGCTTTTAAATGACGGTGTCAGCTGACCGTGCACGGGGTGTATCTTACACACTGGTTTTTTTGTTAGAAAGCTGCAGCAGTTTGGGCGACTATCTTTGCTGTGTGTTTGTGTTAGCGTGTGATACTTTGTCTTTTGTGGTCGACGTTTCAAGTCCCGTTTGGCGTTGTGGTCACAGCCAGAATAGGTTGTGACTCCGGGATGTGACTCGGTGCAGCTCGCTCGTGTTGCTGCAGATCTTTTTTTTCTTAAACGTGCCCGTCAAAATGACAAAGTTGGTGCCAGCTGAAGCAGCCAGAGCTGAATTAGCTATGGCTTAACGTGATTACATGCTATCTGAAAATCATAATTGCAGTTTAGATTTGGCTCACCAGGGCTTCAAAAATACACAATGTGGATCGGAAATTATGAGCAGATGACAAGTGCCGACTGTACCGCTCAGTGTGCTGTACAATGAGCGTTTTAGTTTTCTCTTTATTTTTCCTTTAGTGATTATCCTTTTAAAAGAAACTTTGTGTCCTACAGGAGCACATGCCCACGTTCTTGTTCAACGGCTACGAGGACCTGGACACGTTCAAGCTGCTGGAAGAGGAGGACCTGGACGAGCTGAACATCAGAGATCCTCAGCACAGAGCCGTGCTGCTCACCGCCGTGGAGCTGCTGCAGGAGTACGACAGTGAGTCCGCCGCACAACACTTGGATGCACTCTGGGTAGAAAAAAACACTCAAATGTAGGGCTTTTAGTGAGCCTTCCCGTGACTAAGTGTACGCTTCTTGAAACCAGATCTGGGTCGGTTTTTCACTCGCAGTAGTTTTTTCCAATTACTTTCAACGCCAACATGACGGCATGAAGAGTATAAATGACAACCAACCGAACCTCAAAGTCTGTTCTAAGTGAAGTTGTCACGGACGGAGACTTTGCTGCATTGCTGTAGAGTTCTTAAACCCGAATGGACCCCAGTTTAATGGTGTTTGTGTTGCTGCCACCAGGTAGCAGCGATCCAGAGCGCGGCGGCCTGTCCGGCTCCCAGGAGAAGCTGCTGTCTGAGGGTCAGGGCCTGGTGGGAGACTCCCCACGGGACTCTGGCTGCTACGAGAGCAATGAGAACCTGGAGAATGGTAATGATTGCTTTGCTTAGTCTAGCCCTTTGCGGGAGTTAGGCCCAGCTGAGGCCGGCTCTCGCCTAGTCCTAGCGACTCCTTCGCCTGTTTCCCCCCTTCTTCTGGCCTTCCACCTCTGCTCCATCACTTGCTATATATCGCCTCTGCATCCTAACACCCATCTCACTCTACTGGATACAAAAAAAAGCTCCTCTTGCCGCCACATCCGCCCCCACACTGCCCTGCCTTTACCTCTCTAGTATGGACCCTGTGACTATGCTTTCACTCCACTTTCTTCACCGCTCTTTTCATCCTTTAGGCATTCTTTACCATCAGTGCCAAAGTCCAGTTGTAACTGAGAGGGAGCCAGGCCCCAGACCACTAAGCCTAGTCCACCCCACAGTGCTGGGAGCGCAGAGGGAGAGTCTGTCCCCGATGCACAGAACTGTTGTGATGAGAGCAAACTCACTGCCCAGTCAAGGACTCAGGTTCCCAGCCGTCCCTCCTTTGGCTTCACGGCCGATAGACGGATGCCAGGAAGATGACTTTGAGCTCATAGAGTATTTCTGTTGAGTGTTTTTAATTGAGAAACAAAAAAAAAAAGCTTGAAGAGTAGTAATGTCAATGAATGCCTGTTTATTTTGTTTTTGTTTTGCAGTGGCTCAATCTATAGGCTTAACAAATGTAATAGTCAGGTAGCAGACCATCTCTTCACATGTCGCTCTCGTTGTGCTTGTGGGCGTTGCGCAATCATACAGTATGTGCCTAAAATGATGTGGATGGAAATATTTTAAAAGTTGTACAAGAGTTCTGATGATAGACGTTCATTGAGGTGTTGTTGTCGGATTTCATTTCATTTTGTTGTGAGTGTACTTTGTGAGGCCGCTCTCTGCACAAGACTCTGCCTTCTTCTTCTTCTTCTTCTTCTTCTTCTTCTTCTTCTTCTTCTTCTTCTTCTTCTGTCCCGTACAGCATTCTCTTAACAGCTCCATAACTCATAAATCACTGCTTTGGTCTTTTTTCTTTCCCGTTTATCTGTACGGTTCCAGTGTTAACTACTGGTTTCCCTATTTTGTGTTTCTCTGTGTCATTGGGGCTCAGTAGTGAAGCGTGCCGTCTGCCACAGTAGAGATTTAAGTTGTGGAATAAAAACCACTTCTCTAAACAAAAAAAACAAAAAACAAAATGGACTCTGGTGCTGATTGTTTGACTTTACATGTTTTGTCTGTTTTTCTGTTTTTTCTCTTCTACGCCACTAAACGCTCTTCACGAACTAGCTGCGTAACATTTAGAGAACGTTCTGCATCGCGTTCAGGGCTCCACAGCGCCACCGTCTGTGCAGAGACTCATTAATGTGTTACTGCATATTAATGAGTATTTCTAAATATTTATTGGTCAAGAGAATTGGCAAAGAGGGGATTAGAGTTTAGATAATAGAGGGTACATAAATGAGACTTCAAAATAAAAGCCTCTGTGGAGCCTTGAACACTCTTTAAAGACCTTTCTTTAACATACATGTGTCTGATTCCTGTGACTGGATCAATCAGTTCTTTCTCATATCATCAAATGACATCGCTTGTGATTATTATATCCACACACATTAAGCGGTGATGTGTTGGTTAGTTAAGTAAAAGGCAGTTAATAATATTCAGTCCTGATCTGAATAATACAAAATCAATACAGTTTTAGGTTTTATTGCATCGTAAATCTGTCTAATGCCACTTATTAGGCAGTAATATAGAAAAACAACCCAGTTTAGATTTATTTGTGTACAGTGTGTATATATAATGTGACTGTTTGGAGCATGAAACACACAAAATCTTTAATAATTACATCACTGATGATGTTCCAATACAATCCAATAGCACATCTGACACGACCTCGCAATCTTAGTTTGTGTCCCGTCTGGAGGACGTTTTGTTGGGCCGTCAGTGGACCTCGTGCTCCTCTCCAAGTCTGAACACGAGTGTTGCAATTAAAGTAGATCTAGTATCTGATGGGAAGTCGATCCGTCGCAGCCTCTCCTGCCTAACTTTCTTTAACATTTCTGAGAACTGTCGAAACATCTCATGACATTCCATCTTTTGAACTTTTCCGTCATCCCGCTTTTTAAAAAAACTCTCTGGCAAGCCGCGCTCTGTGGCTCTCCTCCATTTCATCCATCCATTTTGCTCTGTAAGCCAAAGGATAGATGGTAAGTTGCTTCATCCTTTTGTTCCACTGTTTCTCAAGTGTTCCTTTCATATTACTTTTATTTGGGATTGCTGCTATGACAACAACAAATCAGTCAGTTTGGTCATGAGTCAAAACAAGCTTATCTTACGCCCGAGGCTCTCCAACCCGTCTTCATAAACATTGCTTTTGACTGTAACTCGCAGATAAGCGTTGAACAATAAGCATGCAGTGCTTTTATGAGTTGAATTTTTATTTCGTGACTTGGCTCCGGCAGACTTGTTAAAATAATTGTTGTGAACATATTTTCCAGTGATGCAAACATGCATGCTACAGAGTATTTGTGACACAGATGTACGTTGTTTTTTACTACTTTTTTCTGCCAAAAAACTGTAGCCGTCATAAAAAATGAAAGTCAGCCAAGGCAGTAAAAAACAGCAATGCTGAGTCATGCACAGTATTAATATGTGTTAGTGAAAGCCATAGCGAGCTGAGGAGAGAGAATCCTGGTAGGAATTCACCAAAGACTGACAAGAATCTAGTCTTCTTTAACAACCAATAGATTTGGTTAAACTGGCATTAAAGTGTCTACATCTCAATGCTAAGCAAGGATTATTATTTTGCAGGTAAGAGCAGAAAAGCTTCCCGTTCCAGCCGTTCTTCAGCAGGACTCCAGTCTCCAGACTACCCGACGCTGCCCATGACTCTCTCCACAGAGGCCCTGCAACAGAACGGCAAAAACCAGCGCACAAAGTTCCCAAAAAGCTTCTTCATCAAGCCCTCTCTTAAGGGCTTCAACTTGCTGGGGCTGCGCAAAGCCCAAAGACGGTCCCCCATCCCAGCCAGCCGCAGCTGTGAGGACCTGGATGGTCCCCCGCAGCCCACTGGGCCCTGGAAGCGCTCGCACTCTCTGGGAGATTTGAACTGGGAGCAGAAAAATGATCTGAGTGTGGAGCTCAGATCTGCCAAGGAAGCACCCAAATCAGGCCACAGCAGCCCCAGCAAAGTCTGCAGAGATGACGGGTCTCCGGCTCAAAATGGGACTCCATCAGTGAGCCCTAAAGCGAGGGCCGACAGACCGCCCATACCCTCCCAGCTGCCTCTCCGCTCCCCTTGTCCCACGACCCAGTCCCCCAACCATCCAGAGCCCCTCTCCAGTCCCACTCCGAGTCCTCCCGATTCTAGCGCAAGTGGGGAGAGGGTCGTCCGGACTCACCCCAAAAAGCCTCCCATCCCTCCTCCCGTACCCGCCAAGAAATCTAAAGAAAGACTCGCCAACGGCCTGCGCCACCCGCCTCTCTCCCTGCCCTCCACGCCGTCGCCCACCCCTTCGCCCACCCACTCCCTCAACCGCTCTCACCCCAGTAGCCCCGTAATCCGCAGCAGCAGCAGCAGCCCCAGCCCCAGCCTCGGCGCTCCCGCTCTGCCGGCCAAGACCCCGAGCACCCCGGCCAGTCCGTGCGCCACCTCCTCGGCCTCCTCCATGGGCGAGGAGTCGGGCACCCCACCAGCAGTGCAGCCTCCGTGGCTCTCGGATCTCGGGGGCAAGATGGCTGTAACGAGGAAGGCCTCCCATGCCAAGATGGGCCCTGACCTGCTCACCCTGCTGGAACAACGGCTGCAGGCAGAGGGCATCGACCTCACTGAGGAGCCCTACTCTGACAAGGTTGGTGAAGTATCCTGTAAAGCAGGGGTGTCCAAATCTGGTCCTCCAGGGCCACAATCCTGCATGTTTTAGATGTTTCCCTCTTCAGCACACCTGATTCAAATGATCAGGATCGTTATCAGGCTTCTGCAGAGCTTGATGATGAGCTGATCATTTGAATGTGTTGGAAGAGGGAAACATCTAAAACATGCAGGACTGTGGCCCTCGAGGACCAGGATTGGACACCCCTGCTGTAAAGAATGAGAAAATAAGTTATCCATTTGGCACAGCTTTTAGCTCTGACTGATGACGGGTGGATTTGTATCAGAAGCTAATATACGCTGGTCAGAAACATAAAGGGAACACCTAAACAACACAGTGTGACTCCAAGTCAGTCCCACTTCTGTGAAACCAACCTGTCCAGGTAGGAAGCAACACTGACTGTGAGCAGACAACATTTACATTTTTACATTTCAAACAGATGCTGGAAATCTGACATTTCATCGGAAGTGTAAAAGCTTACCGACCTGATCCCTTCAGTAACTTACATAAGAACTTACATAAGTAGAACAGTAGAAGGAGCAGAGATATGGTTCGGTATCCACTTAGAAAAAAATCACATCCTAGTTAATGCATAACAGAAACATTTGGAGTCATATTTCCGTAGTTAATTTGAAAATAGGGCTTCAAGACACCTCAGGGCTATACTTGTCTGGCGTCAGGCTCTTTTGGTTCAGCATTGTAACATGCCTAACTTAACCCAGTCATAATTTGACTGTAACTTGGATCCAGATTGCTCCGTGTTTAGCCCACTAACATCAGCAACTTGCTTTGGAACTCATTTAGTTTAAAAATAGACACTAATAGAGTCTAAAGTCTGTGTGTTTCTTTCGTGTGTGCAGATGCCGTTTTATATGCGAGGGCATTTATTTGTGTGTGAGGGTGTGGGGGCGTGTATGTGTGCGCACAATAATAAATACGCTGCCTGGAGCTGAGGAGGAAAGACTGTGGCTTGAGTCTCACTATGATGCGGTTCAGACTGTTAAGTTTACGGGCTGAATCTTACTGAAGGCAGACGGGGTTATAAAACTTTGTGCCTCTTGCCAGACCCCAGGCTGGGCCCCTTGAACATGTCGGAGCCCCCAACACTGGCAGGAAAAATCACACATATGCAAACAGACAGAGGCATCGGGGGATGAGGTGAGAAATAGGGCCTCAGACCACAGCCCGGCTCTGCTGGATTCCTGTTGGTCATAAGTGGATTGGCAGAGACGTGAGGGCCGCATTGTGCTGCAGTAGCATCAGTGAGCCTTTGAGCCGGGGCAGGCATGGACCACATGACTGGTGTCAGAAGTCATTCAAGTAATTTAATGCACAATTTGTTCTAATTTACTGTGGAAATTATCTTAGATTTCAAACAATCTGATTAGATCAGTGTTGATAAACTTCAAACGACAGCCGACCTCGGACTTGGTGACATCCCATCATGGTGCACAGTGAACCTCACCAACCATTGACTGCCTACAGCCGAAGCTCCTGGAAACCAAGGTGTTGAGAGTGCAGGTCAAACTGAGAAGATCTTTTCCTCCATTCATCCATCTTTTCATCCTCAAAAGACCTCTGGTTCAGTCTGATAAAAACCAGGCTTTGCTGTAAACATGCCAGAGCTCCAGATGTTCATGCAAAGAAAAGGGGAACAAGTGCATACCTGTATGCGTAGAAAGGCTTCAGCACAGTTCGTCCTTTACCTCGTTCCTGCTTATTAAATTCCTGTGCAGAGCTTAACATCCTGCATGCAGGAGGCCAAACAAACTAATGACAGAAGGTCCCCTCAGAACTCTGCTCATAACAATCGATGCTGTCAGCGTTGGCCCATGAGTTTATGCTATCAGGCGTTCATTCATGAACCGCCAGATGTTGGTCTGCATGATATTAAGTCAGGATCGTCAATAATGTCAGCCCAGTTGATTCTAAACTCCCCATTGGTCGGTTACGTGTTTCATTCTTGTGGTTTAAACGTGTCGCTCTTTGTGCAGCCATTGAAACAGCCGGTATGTAACGTTTCCTTCTTCACCTCCCTCATCCAGCACGGCCGATGTGGCATCCCCCAGCCGCTGGTTCAGCGCTACTCGGAGGACCTGGAGCAGCCTGTCAAGGATGTGGCCTCCAACATGGACCAGCTCCGAGTCAAAGAGCTCCGCAAACAGCACCGTATGGCTGTAAGACGACGCCACTGATTTTACTGACCGTTTGTGGAATTTAACAGCGATATAAATGTTGTGAGAAAGCAACAATGCAGGCTGGAAAAATGGGCCAGTTGGGACGCCGATTTCCCTGTTTTCAAGACTGGTGCCATTGTTGAAGGAGAAGGCGAATTATGCTTTGTTGAATATTTAATGACTCAGATAAATGTGGAGATAAACTTTAAAAAGACAGTTAATATTTTATTATTGCTGTAAGTAGTCTAGAATTACTTCAGCTGTAATAAAGTCTGTCTAAAGTTTGCCTTTCAGACACACTGCTTCAGTTTTGGCTTCTCAAATCTCTATGTATATTTAATCTGAGGAACTTCTGTGGAACTACTAACAGTGCCTTTCTATCCCGTTTTGCCACCCAGATCCCCTCTGGAGGTTTGACAGAGATGTGCCGGAAGCCTCTCTCCTTCGGTAACATCAGCACAGTCTCCGATTGGCTCGTCTCCATCGGCTTGCCCATGTACGCCACGTCTCTGGCAGCCGTGGGCGTCGACACGCTGAGCCGCGTGGCCTTGTTAACGGAGAGCAGCGTGTGGGAAGCCGGGGTTCGGGACGAAAGGCACGTCCGCCGCCTCGTCACGGAGGCGCGATCGGTCAACGCGCACAGAGAGGTGCAGTCCTAATCGTGTCAGCAGGTATCAGCTCACTGGTTTGTCTCATTTAAACACGGCCGGCAGGCAGCCACGGAGGAAACCGGCCACGAGAAGCGACCGTCGTACTTCCTGTCCCGCACACGACTGATTTCCTCTCTCTTCATCATTCACGTCTTTTCTCAAATGTTTACGGCACCGAGGAGTTTTTAATCTCCCACCAGCCAAGACAAGATATCAGATGCCTTTTCAAAAAAAAAACAAAAAAAAACACAGACTCACTCTGTGGGATGGCTTTTATTCTGAAGACACCCCCAAAGTCTTAAAATAAAGACTTGGATCTGCCTTTAAGGAAGATAGCACACTCTTTTTGTAGGATGGATGTTTTTTTTTTTTTTTTCAAACACGGAAAGACGTTTTATTTCCTGCATATTTCATAAGTGCTTCATTTTCAGCTCTTGCGGCGAGGCGACATTAATCAGAGGGTGTTTTTAAAAAGGAAGAAGCTCGGCCAAAGTGTTTCATTCTCCACTAACAGGTTCGCGGCGAGCGGCTTCACTTAACACGCGGACTTTTAACCGACTAAACACATACACCAAAATAACAGGTGGCTTTGAGGTGGCTTATTTTGTATCATGTTTCTGTATTATAGCATAATGCACATCTTAATTTTCAAATGATTTATATGTTTTTAAAAAAAAAAAGTTTGCCTTTTGAATGTTGCAGCCTTATTTGGAGGCCAGCGCTCGATCGTTTCTAAGCTGACGTCACACCCTTTGTATTTCATATCTTACTGAAGTTTCACCGCATATCCCGGATGCTCTGATAGTCTTACAGGAAGCTTTGTTTTACTGTAGTAATCACCATCGGCTTTCACATTCCCCGGTGCATCGTCTTTGAGTTGCTTTTATAAATGAATCGATGAGCAGAACATACTGGATGCAGTAGCTTTGACTGCATCGTGACTGAACTGTGCCAAAGGTGCAAGCTTTTTTTTTTCTTCTTTTTTTTGTGTTCTGAATGTGTCAAAGCAGAGATTTCCTTTGAATGCATTCAGCCAGATCATTTCAGAGATACACATGGATGTGGACCACAGAACACGCTTCTGAGTGATTGCAGTTTCTACACTTGCGAAGCGCTGATGATAAACGGCGCCGACCACAGACGCGGCCCAGACGTCGTCCTCCTCGTTCGCCATACGTGTCGGCGAGGGGGGGAACAGGGTGGGAGGAGAAGATAAAAATGTTCCTGAGACGCAGCTGACATCTGGGCTGTCATATCTGAAATTTATTGAACGTCTGGCTGTCTGCGCTTCGGTTAAAAGTGTTGGAGTGGAATTTGAATTACAGTTGACTAATAAGCTCTTTGGGGATTTTGCATAACTTCAAATCAATGCCAGCCTGGAATTTGGTAAAAAAGCAAAAACGGTCACGTCAGGTGAATCGTCGACCTCCACGTCCAGCACGACAGAAACAAGTCTTGTAATTCAGGGAAACGCTGGATGAGGTCAGCCTGTTTTTAAAAGAATAATAGAAATTTTTGGGGCCAAAGCAGAAGTGAGAAGAAGCAGACTTTCATTCCTGTTTCATTTGCATGAAACGGAGAAAACAAATATCCCTCATGAATTATTGTTTTCCCCTCTTATTTCTAACCGTTACAATCTTTCGCAGCAGAACTGAGCTGAAGATTCATTCCACGGATTTCATATTTGAGAAAACTTAATGCTAAATTTCGAGGCTGTTTTTCCTGCAGTCGGTGATGGGACGATATTTGATGCCTTTTTTTCTCTTCAATCAAAGTGGTGCTCTGAGAAAGTGAAGAAAGAGGGGCGGGTCGGTATAAAAAAGAAAAAAAGAAAAAGACCCAAGAAGTGTTCTGTAAAGAATGAAAATACTGACACTGTAAATGCACTTTAGATGGTAAATCTAGCTGTTTTATAGGAAACTAAATTGGCTACGTTTCGTTCACAGGTCCACAGACGGACTGGTCGTCAGGTAAAGGGTTTCAAGGGGTTATGCTGGTATTTTATTTTAGTATTGAGTTCCCAATGCCAATTTTAATAACCATTCACGAGTTAACCTCTTCCAGTTACTCACCTCCGATTTGTTTTTGCAGTCTTAAAAAAAAAATTCTTAATTACATATATGAAATGCTTAGCAGAAGTTGCACATTCTGTATATGTAATTGATATTTAAGTAACTTATTTTTTTGCTTTGTTTTTTTTTCATATCAACTGTAATTAGCTGTACTATATGAATAGCAATACCTTCCTGCATAATGCATATTGCTCTAGCCAGTAAGGAACTACAGTATGTATTGTAAAATATGTGTACAAATTATTTTATTTGGTTTTCATCTACCTAATGATTGTCCATACAGATCTGCCTGTGTATTGAAACAACAAAAGTAATGTCCATAACTATTTGTCATTCTGAAATATAATTAAAAAAAACAGTTTCTTGCCATGCGCCGACCTTCTGATTGTCGATCTGCACTGCACACAAACACACAAAAACACACAAACACACACGGTCACGGAGAGACGAGGGCGAGGCCTGCTGGCTCTGTTTTTATCAGTCTGGTTCAGTGTGACGCTGCACTGTTGAGACCTTTCTTAATTATATTTTATAATTAAGAATGAAAAAAAAGAGAGTGTGGATTTGCAACAAAAGGAGCCACCAGGCTGGACTCAAACCTGTCTCTCACATATGTTATTATCTTATTCTTAGATTCTAGAAAAAAGGAATTTAATATGATTTGGTTTGGTCAAAGAGAAAAATAAAAGAATGTGTAACCATGGGAGGCATCTCTGAATAACAAAGCCCTGCACTTAGTACGGTGTCAGAGGTTCAGTTGGCGAGCTCAGAAACGTCGTGTCTGCCTTGTAATGCCTCATTTAGAAACTATACACATCTCCTCAGGACGCAGACAACAAGTTCCACTCAACATTTATTCTGCAGGTCGACTGCCTGCCTGTCTGGCTCTCGATGCCGGTGAACGGAGGCCATCCCCGGCCTTATTCATATCAAGGAGCCCCGAATCGGTGCAGACCAGACTACGAGCCCCAGTTTAATAATATTTCGTCCCGGAGGACCGCGCCGGAGACGGTTTTACGAGCACAACTTTTATCTCGGCTGATGTCTGCCGTTCTCCTGAGTGAAAACACAGACAACTGAACAAGCACTTTCTTCAAAAAGAACAAAATCATTTGCGAGCCGCTGGTCTCTTTGGAGAAGAAGAAAAAAAATAAAACCGTAGGAACTATACAATCATTTCTCCTCATAGGGCTGTAGTGAGTCATTTGCCTCCGCCTCATGACTCTGTCTTGCACATACACAATTGCTCAAACCAAAATATCTCAGGAGGAAACGAAAGCAGTGAACCTTGCCTGCATTCGGAGCCACTTTCCCTTCTGATTTTTTTTTGCATTGATGCAGCATGTCTGTGTCTGCATGCAGCCTGTCGTGAGAAATCCCTAAAATTCTAACGGCGGACAACAACGCAGACACAATAACGTCGCAGCCTGTCTCGGAAACGGCTGGATCGTTGCTCTCCATCGATGCCGAGCATGCACTCCTTGCACAAACGCAGTCACAGGAGACTAAGAAACATCCTCATTATTCCACAGATTTCTCAAAGCGAACTGATAAATCGTAATGAGCGTGGCACTTTCATCGATCCTTATGTTCTCCTGCTACTTTTTTCTCCCCTCCTTAGAGGTCAGCAGTAATTTAAGCAATTCCTCTCTACGTCTGCGGTGTGTGTGTGTGTGTGTGAGAAGTCTGATCCCTCAAGTTTTCATTAGTGTTTGGAGGCAAATCCACCTATCTGAGTTCCTCGCTGAGTTATTCTCAGTGCAGTGTCTGCTGATTCCTATTATGGAAGGGTAAACTCGGTTAAAGGGATGCTTCATTCTTTAGCAGATGCCTTTAATCAAGACCTGAAATGTGCAATGCTCATGCAAAGTGAGGCTCATTTCTGTCTCCTACCATTATTTTTTTTCCCCTCCAATATTTACTCTTAATTCGCCGAGTGCACAGAAAGGCGCCGCGGGTGGACGGACACATTGTTTGAATCAATGTGAAACTCACAGAAACTTTTCGCTGAATTGCAGCCGCAGGATTTCACAGACAGGTATACACACAGAATATCCAGAGGCGCTGAATTACTGATCTAACAAAGCTGGAAACTAATTAGGTTTTAAACATTTATCCGGGCCCGTGTGGACTTTTCTCCAGGTACTTGCGGAACTTGACGGATGGATAATACATCAAAAAGGCATCAAGCCACCAGAAAAAAAAACATTTTGAACCCAAGTCCGGCAGTTCTGATTAAACTAAAGCTGATTTAGCGCAGTGGTCCTCCTGACATCTATACTGTGCTGCTGTGTAATAAACCTCTGCGCTGCACATTCGCTGGACTATAAACCTTTAATTCATTCAGTATTTTTTGTGCCGAGCTTGCATTATACAGCACGGCGCTGTTTATAATGCATTTACCTGAGGACAGGCCGAGCCACTGGGCCCCTCAACAGAATTATTCTGCTCCTCTTTATTACGTCGGTTCTTTAAAGCCCAAACTGTTTTTCACAGCCGCTGCCGTTCCCTCGGCTACTTTAGCGAGAGGCCTTTGGTGAGGTGGTTTTGAATCACCTCCTAAGTGCAGGTGGAGTCTAATGGAGGGTTCTGGCCTTGCTGAGGAGAGATATATGGCTCAGTGTACGGCCTGAGGGGACAGAGAAAGTTTTAAACCTACAGATCAAGAGCTTCTTTTCAACATACATCAGTCATCTACGCTCTCATCCTGTGATGATAAGGCTGATCTCCCCAGTTTGTGAATAATAACCATTTGAAACAGACTGTGTTTCACTGGGACGTCTCCATTAGGACGGTTTGGTCTGTTGGCATCAGAAGGCCAAAAAATCATTTGTAAACTTTAACATATCTTCATTTCTGTCTATTTATCAGCAAACATTCAACATTAAGTAATTTCGTGCATACTGAAACTAACTTACAATCCATTGCTGTCAAGTTTCTGCCATTAAAACTCACACTTGCACCACTGGATGGCGCTGTTTTACGCACCGCCATCCAAACCAAATCCTGTGTGAGGTGGAAGTTTTTCCCCTTCTCTCCACGTTCAGTAATTTGACACCCAAAAGACTGAGAGCAGAGAAGGATGGACCCTTAACTCGGCTGGAAGGAGAGAAGGAAGGAACAGTCATCCAGCGAGCGCAAACGAGCAGGGACACGAGCAGAGGCGAAGCGTTGTGCGTAAAAGAGAAAAAAAAAAAAAAAAAGAAAAGAGAAAGAACCCCGTGGCTCCGGCAGCGGAGGAGAACTGGGTGCCTGCGCGTCTCCACAAAAAAAAAAAATTACTGGCTGTCTCGTCTCAAATGGTCTCAAAGCGACAAGTTTCACTCTCCACAGGCGGATGGGTGACTTTCCACGGCGCTTTGTGAGGAGGAGATGATGAAGAATTTCAGCAGCAGTCCCCTTCACAGCAACAACCAGACTCCCAACCACATCAGAGAGCGGAACATCCGAAAGTACGGCTTACTCTCTGCGATACCGTTGCGATTCTCCCTGCGTGGTTATGGTTTCTGCATGGCTACGCTGTTCCTCTTCTGTTTCGGTTCCCTTTTTTACCAGCTGAACGGAGGACCTCCTAAAATCCTGCTGGACATCAGGCAGTATCTCGGTAAGAAACTTTTCCTCTTCTGCTCTCCTTCTCTGCTGCAGGTCGTCATCAAAGAGATTGTTTTAATTAAAAGTTGCACTGCACGTCTAGACGTCTTCCTTTTTTAATGGGGCGTGTAAAGAAATCCAAAATGGGGCAAAAAAAAAAAAGAAAGAAGAAAAAAAAGTCGCTTTTATGAAATCCACTGGAGGCCACAGCGTCCCATTCAGCCCACATGCATTATCTTCTATCAGTCATGAGCGTGTGGTTAGAGAATGACAAAGATCGCAGTAGAGATGTGGATACTGCTGTTTTATATGCACGACCTGTGGTTTTTAGCGACCATCCTAAGATTTTAGAAAGTTTTCCTCAATCTTTAACCATTTTCAGACCCAAACCTGAGGAATGCACTCCGTCCTGCACCGCTGGAATATCAATTATGACTTGTCGGAGCATGATTTAGAGCTATTATGGTAACAAGAACTTAGCAACAGTTAGGATTGATGCTGATGATGAGTGACACCTCTTCTTGTAGAGCCAGCTGGTGCGCTCCAGCCACGCAGCGCTCATTACGCACGACGGGCACCGTGGAACAAGGCGCAACCAGGCTGAGGGTAGCGTTTCAAAAACAACAACAACAAAAAGAAAAGCATGTGGAGCTGTTTGTTCTACAGATGCTTTATGTTTTCCTGTTGAAAGGTTTCCAGTTTATGTCCAGAAGGAAACATTTTCATTTCGGTATGGCTTGGCACTGATAGAAGTTCAGTGGTTGGTCAAAAAGAGCCCATGTGTGTCTACATGTGCCAGATGTTTGAGCTGATGTTAAAGATAGGATGGGTCAAGAGTCAAAAAGGTAGTGTGTGTGTGTGTGTGTGTGTGTGTGCGTGTGTGTGATCCCGTGACTTAAAACTCTTCTGACACTCTACACAGAATCAGATGCAGAGGTGATTTCCCGTCAGCACGCCCATCACTCGGCCACCACATGGACTCTCCCTGCCTGTTGAAAGGAGCTTGTGTTCCTACCTATTTCTCACAGAGGGCTTACGGCCTTTATGACGTGATAAACATCTGGAACAGAATGAGAGTCACTCACCAAGTCGGCCACTAATCCCGTGGGTCAGATTGGTTTCCTGTGGACACACACACACTCGCACTTAAGACACACATAATCTCACACACGCCTGCACGCTGCTGCTGCTGTGCTATAATGTCAAGAAACAAGTTTGATTCCTTTCAACACATGAGCACTGGAGGTTTTTCTGACATTAAAGTTGAGCAGCACAAGAAAAAAAGAGTTAGTTTGGTGTCATGGAGCGCATTGATATTTTCCTCTATCTACGACTTGATAGCCTTGATATGCGGACGCTGAAGTCACATCGCTCTGGTAAAACTTTGCAGCCTAATGCGATTTAGGAATCACAGCAGTCGATGCGAGTTCATTTTATTTTAGAGTAATTGCACCGAGCTAATGCATGCGCGGCGAAGGCAGCCTCTAATGCTCCTTACTTTCTCACTGAGCAGCAGTCTGAGGAGCAAACAAGCTTATGGCAAGGATGGAGCAGAAGCAAGACAAAGTCAAAGACAAATCTATTATCTGCACCGTCATAATCCCACCAGCCATGTGTGGACCATGCGGGCGAGGAATCCTTCAATTAGAAGCTGTCTGGTCCCACCTGCATGACGTGATCTCGACTGCTGCTCCCAACAGACACCCAGAGGACCTGAGTTTTGTCAAACACTGACTCCTCTGTGCTCTATCGACTTCAGGAGGGGGGGTTTCTTATGTAACAGTGACATAACCGCAGTGTAGCACCTCCACTGGGATCTGAATGAGTAATCGTCTCCACTTATTATGATGCTGAGGCAGGGAGAAAAGGCTTTGTTTATGGCGGAAAGTTGTGACACAGTGAAACTGGTGACATGAAGTCGAAGGTTTCGGATGGGTTTTTCGTATCCCCGTAGCGGCTTCGTGGGAAAATTTCAGGTTGTGTTCTTTCAGTCGATGATTGCGAGAGGAAGAATCTACTCTGTGTTATAAAAAGGTGTGATGTTGGGAAGGAGAGAAGATGTGGTCTGCTCGTCGAGAAGCCGAGAAGAAAGAAATGCGGGATAAAGGAGGGAAGATGAGGAGCAGAATATTCCTGTGATTGGGTGGCAAAATAGCCTGGTGCTTTGAAAGAAAGTTCGAAGGGAAAGTTGTTTTCACAGAGAACTTTACGTTTCCTTCTTTGTCACCTTTGTCACGCTCTCTGTCTCTATCAGTCTTCGAGTCAGTCGAGAAGTGGATGCAAACTGCATAAGGGACAGTCCTCAGCCCATCGAAGGGAATTAAGGGAGAATATGGAGGATATTTATTGTTTTACAATCCTTTAGAATGCCCGTGCATAGTTAAAGGTCATTTCTAAGAGGTTCTGAGAATAACTTACATTTAGCTGATGGCACATTGTCACAGCATGTGTAGATGCACAACGATTCCATAGAAACCACCACATGAGATGATGCACACAGAATGTATGTGCAGAACATTGACTGTCTCCTCCGCCGCCTCCTCTCACTCCGACTCCGACATGTTTAATGTCGACCTGTAAGTTGCTGCACCTTATTAAAAGCTTTTAATATAACCGTGTGCTCAAGATGTCAACTTCCTGATTTGTGCCGCTCGGCGCGCCGTGCCAAGATGAAGGTGAGGATTAGTGGAGGGGAAGAGAATACCGGGCTGATTTAGTGCGATTGTGCCTCTCTGCCGGTCGGATGCAGCGCAGGAGGAACAGAGCTTGTTTTGTTTGGCCCGATGGGGAGGCTGGTGTTTGAAGGTGTCACTCAGCTCGTAGCTGCAGACCTTTAGACCTGGATTTACCGCCCTGCTCACCGCTGCGTGTTCCCAGTCGCTGACCCTGTCCAACACTTTCTCGAGTCTCTCTTTCTCCTCACACCCATACATACTGATCCAACGCCAGAGAGGCTCTTCCTGAGTGACAGGCCTGTGTGGAGAAGATGCATGTTTTACTCTGTGGGTGAATGAAAAAATCACAGCGACTCCCTTTGGTTTGACCCGTTGTCTGGATTAACCCTGTGCAGCCTGAGCGGTTTCCCATCACTCTGACCTCATTTTCACTGCGATATAAAATCCTGCACCTCTGCAGAAACAACACGAGCATGAGGAGAGGTAGAGAGGACACAGAAATGGGTTTTGTGCAGCGTAACAAAGCTGTAATGTCACAAATTGTGGGGAAAAAAAAGTGAAACTAAATTAGTTTTTTAAAGATGATTTCATCAAAGAAGAACCTGGAATCAATGTGTGCAACAGTTTTCCAAATGCCCACAGGTAATAAGAACACTGGGAAAAGCAGTGACTCAACACACGGTGGATAATTTACAACTTACATTTTTAAATTTTCACATTTGTCTCCTCTCTCTCTCTCTCTGTGTGAAGACAACCTCAGCGCTTTGGAACCTCAGGCTAACGAAGCGCTGCATACCGTCAGCGCGGATCATTCGCTATTCACCTGCAGTTCAGCCGAGTTCAGTGGAAAAGTCCCTGAATGTTTGTAACATGACCGCAGGTCGCAGCTGAATCACTAACGGCTCCTCGGTTGCGTTCATGAGTGCAGTTTTTTCTTTTTTTTTCTTTTGTTGTTTGCTGAATGTGATGAAACAATCTGGTTTGTTCTCTGATAGTGTGCAGTGAGCAGTTTTAGACATGGTTTTAATTTTAAGTTTTTTAACAACAAGATGTACAGATGTGTTCACAAGTAAGCAGATTAGCTGTGATTAATACCCAGTGTAGGAACCCTTTTATAAAAGAGTCTGTCTTCACTCCTTCTTTAAATGCGACATGTAAGAGACGTCTAAAAAGGATTGGGCAACGGCCAGAGGGTTTAAAGCCATTGATTTGTTTGGCTCATTGTCTTTCTGCAGCGACATGTCAGATGCCGGTTGACTCCCAGTATTGTCGTGATCTGTGGGAATGCGCTGGTGGGAAAATTACTGCTGCACCTCTTTGATAGCATCCCGTTGAAACTGAAGTTTAGACAGACTCCACGGTGCTTTCACTGCCAGACAAGTGGATGGATGTCGTGGACTTCTGATGGCTGTAGGTGTTGTTCCAGCCCCCTCCCCCCCGGTCGCCTCGCCGTGAATCAGAAACGCTGAACAAACCTCGATGCTGCTGTCAGTCTCTCGCCGAGCACTGGTCTGCTTTTCTCAAAAGAACTCTGTAACCTTAACATGCCCACGCACATAAATTTAACTTTTCTGAAACCGGCCAGTGAGGCGCTGGACTCGGGATTAGACAGGTATGCGCGGACACAGAGGAAGCTTTCGCATTTCTCTCCTCCGCCTCAGTTTTCTGTCATATTTATGCCGTCGCAGGCCAGGAAGTGGGTGAAGGCAAACTTTTTAAGTGAATTCAAATAAAGTTTAGTTTGGCTGCTGAGCACTTAGTAGAAAGCGGCGCTACAAATAAACTTTATATGTATATAAAGAGAAAGAAGAGGGAGAAAGGGAAAGTTTTCCTGCTCGAAGAAGAGACATGCAAACCTGCAAGATGACATACACCGACTGTAATACTCTGTTTTATACTTTCTAGTTAGTGTTGAACCCTCTGCATTATCTGACCATCATCACTAATAAGCTGATCAGTTCTAGTGAATATGTTGTGCTGTGAACATGCAAAGAAACTGATGTAGACGTTTCCCATCTGTTGTGCTGTTGGCCCAAATTTATGGTAAACACATCTTATAGTTCTGTGTGTGGAAGATAAAAGCTTTCCTCGGTGACATCAGAGTCAATGAACTTTCATTTTGGTTCTTTTTCTGTTTGTATACGGCCCATGATAGTGGATTTTTGCCAATACCTGATATGAAGCTGTTCTCCAACACATTTCAGTCCACTGCTGATGCTGATAGCAGAATATACACTTCACTTTCCTTCTATATGCAGACAGCGTCACGTCTCTACCTCTAGAGGAATCACTGTGCCTGTCCTTATTGGAAACCCCCACAAAGTTTCATATATCATTT